AAATATTAGGGATACATTTTTATTTTGTTAATTTCGCATTCGCAAAAGTAATCTTTTAATTTAAAAACATTTGCATACTACATTGCGTAATAACGGAGGTAAGTTATTCTCTACCAGTCTCGTCCAGCTCTACCGTGGTTTCTTTGCTTTTTCGGCAATATTGACATTTCGTAAGCTTTACATAACGAATTCGCCGTTACATTGACAAATAACCTCGCCGTTAAAAGAATTGTTGTTTTATAAGCAATGACGCCAAAATCAATACCGTTCTCTACCGCCTCTTTCGTATTAATTTTGTATTCTACGTAGTACGTGATACGTGTACGCTCAGGTTATAAGATTTTTCAATGAAACAAAATCAAAATGATCTTACAAAAAAAAATTCAGTACGTAACTTATAATCGATAACGTTAGGTTATTTTTCTTTTCCACCGAAAGTTATAACCACTTTTGGCGGCAGTATATTTAAGATGACGTTAGGTTAAGTACTTAATATAAAATAAGTTATTGGCTTCAAAAATGTAACTAGATATTATTTCATATATGTATGTAATATTGATCTTTTTAGGTTCCGTACCCAAAGGGTAAAAATCGGGTATTACCTACTAAGACCATGTTGTCTGTTTGTCCGTCACCAGGCTGTCTCATGAACCGTGATAGTTAAAATTGTTGTTGTAAAAACATAACAACAAATACTAAACAAACAAAATAAATAAATGCTTAAGTGGGGTGCAATACTACAGATATTACATCGTTTTTATAGATAATTGTATGGTACCCTTCGTGCGCGAGTTCGACTCGCACTTGGCCTTTTCAATTTTTCTCTACTTTCTGCATTTAATTCTTAATAATCTAATGACCATTGCAGATCTTAGGACGATCTGTTTTTTTTTCGTGTAGGTAACTAAAACTAGCCTGAATAGTACTTATCACAGATAATAATTATTGGAGTGTTTTTGTTTTTCAGTTTGATTAAAGAGACTTCGATTTATTGAAATTTATTTGACGACATATTTCACGACGACTTATAGCAAATTTTTGACGAATTATGTTTGTTCTTTTCCAGGTGTCATTTGCACATACGTATAAATATTTAGAATTATATAATCACAATTAATAGAATACAGTATTGTATAAATCGGCACGTAAACTGTAACGGTATTTGGTAAATTTGTTGAAATTTTCGCAACTTGCACTGACCGGGACGGAAGAGACGCTCGAGACGAGTCCGCGCGTGCGTTTGCCTGTTTATGCGTGACGAGTCGGATATTATTTCGATTTCCGGAAATGTTTTTCGTTGACAATGCGAAAGAAAGTTGTTTAGTAACATTTCGTTATGTCTTGAATTTTTTTGTCGCAAATTGTAATGCATGACAGCTGTAGACAGCCCCCGTCTGTCATACATACCAAAATATTTACTTAATACTACTTAATATATAATAAAGCTGAAGTTTTTGTTTGATTGAACGTGATATTCTCCGGAAAGAGCTCTTTTTAGGGTTAAGCTCGCCTGTTTTTAAACGGTTTTATTTAGCTCGACACGTACGGAATTTATTTGTTTATTTGGGTCAAAATTAGAAATTGAAATTTAAGCACCTTCCCGTTGTCAGATTGATCTGAAATTTGATACACACATTTAATTTAGATGACAATACAATATTGTAGTTTCAGAAAGAAAATATATATAAGTAAGCGGATAAAGTCCAATATAAAAGACGTTTATAAAAATTTCTACTAACTTTATTATCGGAATGTCATCAGTTTCCTAAATCAGCCGAATATGACCACTAACATATGGATGCGTAAACGTTATATTATATTAGTTTTCCGTCAATTTGACATGACTAAAAATTTTACTTTCTGGAATGTAGGCAATATTTTGAAACGAATAATTGAATAAATTGATTTTTTTGATATTGAAAGCTTGTAAAGTCCCGGATCTAATACGAAAAATAGACAAAGTGTAGTGATAATGCAGTTTCGCTGTCGCCTTCGTTATCTGTGCGCTACGGGAAGTTGGGACCGGTTGGCGCCAAGATTCTCGGGGAAAGTGAGGTCGACGCGCGGACGTGCTTGCGCAACCGCGGCCTCGAACTCCACACCGCATATGGGTCAATGGAATAGGGCGACTGCACGCCAATTGCACGGTGTCGGTTGCTCCCGTCCAGATTCTAACGCCGCATCCAGTAATGGCGCGCATAAGGTCATGTTAGAATTAGATCGATCATATGCAGCTTAGTTTGTCACATGAAACGTTCCATTAATCAATCCTTACTTCCTTACTAATATTATGAAGGCGAAAGTTAAGAAGATGGATGTTTGTTACTCTTTCACGCAAATATTACTGAATGGATTTTAATGAAACTTTACCATGTTTGTCCGCGTGAAATTTATGTTTGTAAAATGTCCTTACAACACAGGATAAAGTTATCCTAACATAAGGGCAATGTTTTACTATAAAAGAAAAAAAAAAGAAATATAGCTTATATATCAGAATAACACAAAGGATATAATTTTTATAGATATTTTTATGTATATCTGTCTTTCTGTCTGAATGTTACGCCTTCAGGCTATTCTACGCAGACGTAGTCGCGGGCAGCAGCTAGTTTGAAATATAAGGATCTTAAAATTGCAATACAACATTTAGGATATAGTAGTATAAATAGTTTTTGTGCAATTCGTGTGATTCATTTTGCTCTTATAAACACCATGGTCACCTCCTTGTTATATTTACAAATACTAATATTATTTAGAAAGATGCTCTTGTGTGAAACTTGTTGCATCAAGCCAGGGAACGGTTGAGATTGCAACTTGCTAAATTGGCCATGAAGGTCGATTAATCACACGTTCCGAAGAAGAGCATAACAGCGTCGACACTGACTTTGATGCTAGTGCAGTAAACACTTTTGTTAAATTCATGTAGGATGCAGTTAAATAATATAATTAGTTATTTCTTGTACTGCATACATTATTGAAAGAGTTCATACTAAAGTATTTGAGAGCATGTGAATACTGTGAATAATTTATTTTAATTACCAGTCTATTTGTTACAAAAGTCCGCAGACGCTTTTACTTTTGCATCGTAAAAAGGGTATAGAGTTTTTGCTTCACGTATTAATATATAGACGTGACAGATGATATAGAACACGGATGAGCAACGCGCGGCCCGCGGGCCGCTTGCGGCCCCTTAAACTTGTTTATGCGGCCCGATAAGCGTTTCTAAAATTGAATTTATTTTATCGAATTTCTCCCATCAATATATTGTTATAAAATTAATTATAATAAAATTGTAGTACATACTGAACCGAAATATTTTTTGTTCGTTTTTCTGTTCTTTTCTTGTTTGTTTTTACCTTGCAATGAAATTTGTATATGAAACCTTTACTTTTTTTATTTTATATTTTTTATTCTAATATTTATTATAAATAAATTTTCGTAAATTATTATGTGCGGCCCGCCAAAAAAATTTGAAATTTAAATTGGCCCATTGATTAAAAAGGTTGCTCACCCCTGATATAGAACGTATCATACCGAAAGAGAGTAGCAGTCTATAGAATTATCAATTTTACCAATTTTCAAAAGGTTGTCAACGCATCTGTAACCCTCGGGTGTAGCAGATGTCCATGGGCGGCGGTATTCACTTACCATCAGGTGTACCGTCTGCTCGTGTGGCATCTTTTCACATAAAAAAAAAATTGATTTGCAATGTAATTTCAGCAGTTGACGTAATTCGAATGCCTCAGTGTCGGTGCGCATAGTTTTTTTCTTTTTTTTGTGACGTGTAGTTTGCTGTTAGCCCGGCGGCTTTGACAGCTTCGGCGGAAGAGGTCCGCGGGCAGACGACCCACGGACTCGGGTGAACAACGTAGCTGGTGCACGACGACGACAAGAAAACGCCGTCCACTCCGCTGCACTCCGCAAACACCCTGCTAACGAAAGATGGACAATCGACTAACAGGGGGGGGGCAAGACACGATCCAAGGGCCCCTCGGATGGAGGTTCGAACCTCGGCTTGGATCGCAATCGATATGGGGACCTACCCAATGGAAGGAATTAGGTTGAAATTGTGATTTAATCCCGAGACGTATTGGCGTTGCGATATCGCTTATGGATGAATAATTATACAAACAATTATTCATTAAAGCAATTTGTTTACGAGATTTGTTCATCTTTATTAACATGTGTTAACGGTGTTAACAATGTTAATAAAAACAATGCATTCACGAAAACATCGTCCAAAAAATAAAGGTTATACAATTAATCACGCAGCGATTACGAGCGCCCATACACTCGTAATTAAATGACAATGACAACACGACGTAATGATTCAAAAACGACCAGGCACACGAGTATATCGCGTGTAGGCCGTGAATCTGGGACCTCGCATTCGCCGTCGATTGCGCTGAGCCATATGTCTGTATGTTAGTGCTTGTGTGTTATGTGACGGACTGCGCGCGGGAGGATCGCGGCGGGTGGCGCCTCGTTAGGCGTTATGTCGACGAATACGATATACGATATAGACGGTGTGCATAGTGTAATATGTACCTCTTATATGCTTATTGGGGACAGGAGTCACAAGCGTGAAGTAGACATTCGTAAGGACATTTAAGTCCGATCCTGAAGACAAGCGAATCCCTTCAACCAGTTGGGTACTTTACATTGATTATTTACAATCGTGGCTACCTTTTCAACCGACTTCAAAAATGGAGGAGTTTCTCAATTCGAATGTATTTTTTTATGTTTTCTTACCTTAGAACTTTCGGCTGAGTGAACCGATTTTGATGATTCTTTTTTTATTCGAAAGCTGGTGCTTTTACTTTTTTGGTCCCATATTAATTGCACTGGATCTTGGGCTCAGGAGATACTTGGGGAAATCCTGAAAACCAATTATAAAATGAGTACAGAGCGAGAGATTTCAAGTAGGTTTTGTTTTTCGTTAATAAAAAAAATGGACTTGTGTTTGGTACGGTCCTTTATTATTATTATTTGCGCCATTTCAGTGATGAAGAGGACACGGGGCGACTGCTGCGGCAGCTGGGCAGGCTGAACCGGCCGTTCGGGGTCACCTTCCGGCAGATGATCAAACTCATGAGCCAGTGTCAGCAGGTATCTAAAGTGAGAGTACGTTGATTTTCGTGCGATAGGAACGATACAAACTATATTATTGTAGCTTTATTAATGCACTAGCGACTCGCCCCGGCTTCGCACGGGTGCAATGTATTATATACATAATATGTAAACCTTCCTCTTGAATCACTCTACCTAGTAAAAATAACTGCATCAAAATCCGTTGCGTAGTTTTAAAGATCTAAGCATGCATAGGGACAGACAAACAGCGGGACGACTTTGTTTTATACTATGTAGTGATGATCGAATGTTGCTTGACAATCCAATTGGCGTAATGGACAGCGACCCTGTCTCTAGTGCCAAAGGGTGTGGATTCGATCCTCGCTACTGGAAATTTTTGTGTGATGATCATAGTCATTTTATAGTGTCTTAGTGTTTATATATCTATAATATGTAAATATTATATAAGAAAAATATGTTTGAATATGTTTATCAATTATCTAGTACCCATAGTACAAGCTTTGCTTAATTTGGGATAACGTTGTGTAAAAACATGTCCCGAAATATTTATTATTTATTTATTACGTGTCTTGTGCTTCACATTCACACCTCACATTTTGGAAATTAACAAACTCAATAATACTTGGATTTTGTTGATTTTTTGTGTTTAAAATCAATTGCGGTTGTAATGTTGTTAATTTCCATCAAATATGTAAAATAATACATCACTATAATTGACAGATGAAGGAGGTTCAGACGACAAAACCTTCGTAGGCAATACGAGATTGCATAATGTTAACAAAAGATCTGCCTCGTTACTCAAGGGGCACTTAATATTCTGAAGAGATCACTCACAAAAATGGCCTTAAACTCAGAGGACCCCATCTTTTTGTTTAAAATTCGAGTGTTAGCTCATTAAGACATTCTTCATAGGTCGGAAGGTTTAGCTTAGCAAAGTGTACATATTTTTCAAGGATATAATAATGATAAATGTTTGAAATACTTAGCATAAATAACTACTTTCAAGTGTATTGTTCATATATACCTATAACATTAACTTGTACTCCAACTTGATATTTCGCTTTAAATGTTTCACGAATATACCACTGTTAGTTTTAGCCATTTCAAAAGATTTGATGTCCATATCAGAAATTATATATCAAATTATTGTGATAACCTCTTTGAGAAAACGAGAAGAGAATTATTAACCTCAATAAATGTTTTATCATCATCATTATTAGCATATTCAGAGCTTCTATATTACGCAGATAATAAATTATGAAATATGATTACATCGATTGCTAAGCATTCATTGACGCTACGCTGCATGGAACAATAGTTAGGTGCAGTAATCACGTTCAACACAATGATGTTTGTGTTCGTCATATTGTCTGCAGTCGGGTGAATACTCGGAAGTTTAATGTTTCTGTCTCCCTTTCCAAAGTAACAGAGAACTTGCGTAAAATTACACGTGCTTTTAAAACTTGATCCTCGTTATAATATGTTCTTTATCTTTTTTATAATATTTATTAAGATAACGCCACAAATTGTGTCAGAATCGATTTACGACTTTTATCTTGCACAAATATTTTTTGAAATGCGACATTTAATAGTAATCTAAGAATTAGTGTTTATGCAATAAATCAATAAGCAAAGAAGTAATGTTTACGCAATAGTTACTAAAAATTACGATCCCCGACCTATTTATCAACAAAATATTCGTCGTTACTTAGGCTAATATTGAATATATGAGTAAAAAAAATGTACATCATTTCCAAATTGTGCTTACGACGATTAAGCGAGCGATGTGCCCAACAAAAACCAGCCATTAGCATAATGATATGTTTTGGAGGTCCGTTGGGAATTTCGCAGACCGTCATCATTATATTCTGATTTCTGTTCATATCTTGCTTATTTTATTTTGCAATTTAATCAAACCAATTTACTACATGGATTATGTCCTCTAAATCCAGGGCATTGTCTAAGATTTTTTCTAATGAATTATTTTTTATATTAGGCATCTGACATTTGCAACACCCCTAAGTATGACGATGTGTTGCCTGTTATTAAGGTGGGCCCCGGCTAGCTGGTGAGTTACCAGACGAAATACAGAAGTATAATACTTCCTCTACACGCTGGTCTTCTCTGTGGCCGTTGTATTTACCCGGACGGACCGTAGGAGGCTGTTGCGTGGCCCTACCACAGTTAAAATGACGTCATTCAGTTCTCCCGCAAAGCTGACTTTGATGATGAAAAGAGTTTCGTCAAACCTCGTAAAACCCTCGAGAAAGGTGAATTCAACAGAGTCTTACGTATAAAACACCAGTTACAAAATACAAAAAGGCAGTTTCTTTTATACACATTGTTTATACTCATACGGAACCCCGGTTAATTAAGCAGACTCAGATTCGTCAGAGTACCGAGTCGGACATCACCGGACATTATTTCACGTGAACAATAAATCTCGACCACTTCGTTTTGGCCTTGACACCGATCGATCGACGATATCCCCCCTTTTCGTCGTAACAGTTAAGTCTATTTTAAATAAATTTCTTGGATTGTTTACACACGCCAAAGCCCTAATTACCCTTACGTATTAGAAAATACTAGCAATAACGCCAAAAGATACCTTCGGTATCGGGAGGAGACAGGGTTGTGTGATTTTGTTTTAACCCTAGTGGACACATTCCATACGTTGCGACAGGGCCATATCTGTAAGTCCTGAAATTCGCTGGAGGAAGCAAAAGCTTGCCTTGACTCCCTTCCTGTGCTTTTGCAACACAGACTGGAGTCCCATGTCGGCCGTCGTTCCCAGGATTAAATCTAACAATAAGCCTGGCGTTCTAAAATGAGCACAAATTTGAAAATATCTTTAGAGCATCACGACGGGACCCACGAACTTAGCAAGTCCGAAACAGCCATATGTCAGAGTCACGTGGCTGCATTATTGCGCAATATATTATTTATTTACATTTCACATGTAATTGTTGTTTTGTTATGTTTTAAATTACATTAATTACGTCGTTATGTCATAAGCGCATAATAGACGTTTAGTATTCTTTATCTACATGTTACGTATGAGATTGAATTTGATTGTAACAAGACGGCTGTCATTTCTTGTTTGGAGATAGTTTTTAAGTTCCCTTTTTTTTGCATCGTGAGGGGGATCTTCAATGGCACCCCACCTGGGGAAGTTAGGATTCTGTGGTGCTAGTACCTCGTACTAAAATCCCCTATGTGGCCGACTTCTGTACATTTGGAGGATCTGTTATCTCTTGAGAAACGCACGGGTGCTCCTCGGTACTGCACATGAGCAGGCCTCGGCCTAGGAAAAACCTTCCTCGATCACTTCACCGTCTTGCGTCTCTAAGAACCTATTCCTACTGCATAACTAAAACGGATTCGTGAACCTAGTGACCCCTTTTAGTCGCATTTTACGGCAGACAGGGGATACCTTTCTATGAGCCCGGGCCTCCAGGTTAGAATTTCAGACGAAGTAGCAACAGGGACATAAATAAGTTTATTATTCGATAAGTTTTGGCAAATTGTTTTCTTTTTATCGAACTGCTTTAAATTTCTTGTGGCTCGATGGCACAGTTCCCAAGTTGCGGGCCCAGAATGAATAATTTAACCAACAAAAAGGGTAAAAGTAAAGTAACAGCCTATACATGCCCCACTGCTGGTCAAAGGCGTCCTCTGTACAGAAGGTATAGTCCACCACGCAGCCCCACTGCGTATTGGCGGGCTTCACATATCTTCCAAACATATTTTTTTTGTTATTACTTCGAAAATATGCAGGTTTCCGCACGATGTTTTCCTTCACTGCTAAGCACGTGATAATACATAAAATTAAGAATTTCATTGGTGCCGGCAACGGGGATCGAACTCAGGTTGCTCGAGTATATTGAATTAAAAGCGAGCGCCCGGACAATGAGATATCACAGCACATAAAAGGGTAATAACGAACGTTTTAAAGAAGTGAATACAAAATATTGTTAGAAAATGATAAATGATATTCTTCAGGTTGAAGGCGTAGAAGCGTGGGACAACGGGCGCCCAGAGACCAGCGCTGGACACGAGCGGGGAGCGGCGGCGCGGCTGAGGGCGGGCGGGGCACACGCCGGCCTGCTGGGCGGCAGCCCCTTGTCTCTGCTGCAGGGCATCATACCAGGTAGGGCTTAGAACCTTTGACTATTGCTTTGTCGGCTTACCTTCGCGGGAACTTGGCTTTTGTTATACATAGTGAGATTCAAGTAAACAAGATCATAAACCCGTCACTAACTTCATCTATCTAAGGTTTTCCATTACTGCATACAATTATACAAAATTTCATATCAATTGGGATTAAAATAATTATTTAATTAATTCACTAATTAAATATACAGATTGATTTATTTTTCAATTCAAGTCGCCCATGGCCGCGTTAAGGAGGCAGCTATTACAATCAAAGTGTTGCCTTTGCAGGCACAAAATGGTGCGGCACCGGCGACATAGCGGCGGACTACCACGACCTGGGCGCGGACCGGCCCCTGGACCGCTGCTGCAGGACGCACGACCTGTGCCCCACCAAGGTGCGCGCCTTCTCGCGCCGCTACAACCTCACCAACAACTCGCTGTACAGCAAGTCCCACTGCACCTGCGACGACATGCTCTTCGACTGCCTCAAGAGCACGAACACGTCCGCCGCGCACCTCATGGGCCACATCTACTTCAATCTCGTGCAGGTCCCCTGCTTGGAGGACCAGCCGAACGGCCTACAGTTCAGAGACGCTAAGCAAGGCTTCTAGTGCCATCTCGAGGCGGAAATCCGATCTAGTGTACAGCGCCATCTCTCGTGGATTTTAGTAATTTCGCACAGTTTTCATTACATTCTTGGTTTTTTTACGCTGTAATGTTGCATTTAAAGTGTGCGCTAAATGTGTAAATATTTTAGTGATTAATATTTATATATATACTCTTACAAATAAATTAATTAGATTTTAAACCTGTGATATGTCTGTGCCTTGAAATGTTCTATACAGTATTTGTAAGATGGCGCTGCTGGCAGTTAAGAACGTAGTCAATTTTTTTATTTTAAGTATAATTTATTTTTTTCCTACTAAATGTTTTCTCATTTTTTCATCACAGAAGTAAGTTATTTAAATGTTAAAACATTTTAATAGATGATTTAAAATAACTTAATTGCATCTATAATGTGTGTTAATGTGTGATCAACAATCTTAAGCAATAAATGTGAACTAATTATACCAAATAAATAAATATATTTAGAATTGTGATATGCTCATTATCCACCCTGTTTCTGCTTGTAGGTAATTTTTAGGTGAATTCTGTATTCATAGTGTGTTCTACCAACCTTATAAACTGATTTACTAAAGTAATGAGTTTTATACTCTATATTAGAACGGTTTTACTATTGTGGTGGTATTATACAGATATAAAATTAAAAGACAGAGCCGAGGCCACTTACCTGTGTTAAAGCCATAAAAGCTTACTCGACATTCTTCGAGCTCAAAATAACATGTGCATGAGAACATACACGGCCCTAACCAAAGGCAGGCTGTATTAACCTCGTGGGTTCAGGCTAGACACGAGTTCTGTGTTCCATGAAGTTTTAATAGTCTACGACTGAAACCTTAAATAAAAGTTAAAACAAAGTTAAGTTAAAGCTTGCTCTCTTAAGCTTAAGCTCTATGAATCGGCCAGCTTGACCGAGTCCGTAACAACAAACGTATGTCTGCGTGAAGTAAAACTATTTAAATTTATACTCTTATACTTTACAAGTACAAATATCTAGCTCTTGGAGCAAAATGTCATTAAGACTCTCACTCTACAAAGCTTGCTTCCTACACGTGCATGTCTTTTTCAAACATTGTCGATGTACAATCAAAGAAATTTAAGGTACAAAACAAATTCATCCGATGCAAAAATAAACGTCAGCCTGCACAGCAACTGGTTGAAAATTCTTCCTACGATTTTTGATCAATTTAGAGATCTTACGAAACTGTTCTTGTATATCGAAAATTCCGTAACACTTACCAACCAAGTAGTTATAATCAACTATCACGTAAACATGATATCCGCATCGATTAGAAGATAAAAGTGTTCCCGACCTAGGGGGCTCAGGGGTCCATGCGTCAACACAAGTAGCGTTCACCTACAACACTGCTTAATCACGCTCACGAACACGACGAAAACAACACATCGCGTACTAACGATATGTTACACCCGCGTTCCAGAACTGCTCTGTGTTGACGAAGTTGTGTATAGTCTCTCATCACAAGTTGAAATATGTAAGACAGGCTAATGGGTTAGGTTACGCCTTAGGGAAGCATTCGTTCCCAAGCCCTGAGGCTACTTGCTTTCCCCGACCTTATATGCCCTCTTTACGAACAACATCCACAGAACCCCTAAGGTAGAGTTGGCACTATACGCCGGTGCAGCCCTGTATGCGACGGATCGTAAAATAATCAGGATTATAACTCTTACAATCTGCACTAATTACCCTACGCGAGAGGCTTACAATCATTTTTATCATTTTATCATTTTTTTTCTTTTATTTTTTATTGCCCCTACTTTAGGATAACATTATCCTGTGTTGTAAGGACATTTTACAAACATAAATTTCACGCGGACAAACACCCAGATGCGAAACAACTATCTGTAGACCACACAAATAGTTGTTCTGTGTGGGAATCGAACCCACGACCCCCGACGCCGAAGCCAATACCTTGGCAACAACGCCACGGAGTCATCACAGTCGATGTATTATATCTCGTAACTTAATCATAATTTCGACCTTGTTACTTACTTTGGATATGTTCCACTATTAATCACGATCCAAGTTTCAAACCTCCATCTGAGGCGCCATTGCATAATGTCGTGCGTGGATATATGGTTAGTTGAATTATTCATCTTTCAATTAACATGGTCATGATGTAGCGGCGCGGTTCGGCTTCAGTGTGTTCAGGTAACCGCATATCTCAAATCTTGTCTGATAAAGTTGTCGAGAGTAGAGTAAACTATACTAGAACAAAAGACACAACATCGCCTTGTCAGTTATGTTTATGTTTTGGGTCTGTAATTTTTTAATTAAGAATCTGTGATTTTGAAAACTGAACTGAGTGAACTGACGTGAATTGTGAAATGTCAAACAATTTTCTTAAACGCCTCGCTAATCTTACGCTTTAATTTAATATGACTCAGTTCTGGAAAACTTAGGACAATGTTAGGAAGTAAAAAGCAAAGGGATTAACAGCCGTAATTTTGTTGCGGGAGAATATGAACGAGCAAACTAAGATGTCTGGCGAGATGACAGTTACAGGTATGTTTTTGTGCCTTTTGCTTGTAATTAGAGCTCGACGTAGACTGAACGCAGCCGAACGCTGGACAAGAAGTGAGAGGATATCGCCTACTTAATATTTACGTTTTAGATCGGCACTCTATGCTATGCTTCCTACTTTTGCTGCTTTCCTGGTTTTTTTGCACCTGCACCACTCAGTGGTCTTTAGTGGTCTCTGTCTCGCGTGCAGGCAGCTGAGTAGTATTTCTGTTTCAAGTCGATGATGGAGCCAACGGTGGATCACCCACACCTGACGCCAAAAGACGAGAACTCGAAGAAGAATTTAATGTGCAGAGAGCAAAGATGAAAGAGCTTTTTTTACAGAAAGAAGGTTCGTAGCTTAAGTTCGTTGTAACATTTGGTGGGAAAGGCTTTTAAATAGCTTGCTGGTAATAATTATTACACATGTTCAGGCACTACTGGCATGGCAATTTAAGAAATGTACAGATGTTTTTATATTATATTTGTGTTGATTTCATAAATATACCGGAAATTATTCCACTTTTTGATTATAGATTTGTTATGTGATAGTAGGTATTATTACCATTTATCTAATAACTAACAATGAAATCAATAAATTCCTAAGTGAATGTTATTTAATTGAACAATAATAATTGTTAATTAATTGAATCAATTATATTTTCAATGTTATTTAATAATTTTGATGAAGACAATGAAGGGATGTAATGACAACAGTAAAATTGTTACATAAAATAAACCTGTACCAAGTTTATTTTAAATCAAAATTTAAATAATATGTATTCTAATAAACCTAGTCTATGCGCTTTAGTGCAGTGGAAAGAACACTTTCATTGCATGTCTTTTGCAATCATCTTTAAGTTCACAAAGTGCCCATTTTGTCAACCAGTTGCTATAATGACTCAAGGACATAAAACAATATTATACACAGGAACCTCATTACCCTATTAATGTCTTTTATTAAAAAAAAAATTAAAGATAATTAAGTGTGGCGATTGTGTGTAGCCACTCTAATGTAATAACATCTCATTTTATTTTAGATATGACATAAGCACTGCACCCGTTTTGTTATTTCTAAAAGTGCTTCTACCATGCTTTAGTACTTCTATAAAATACTAAGATTGTGTGGTGTACTTTTGCATATCAAATCCAAACAAAGTAATGAAGCTTATCTCTTGGTTTTTTTATTAACCTATAAAATTGTTTTTACTTGGTTGCTGCTTTCCGCTTGTATTTCGACATTGTGTAATTATTGTTGAAGGTGATGGAATAGTATTCTTTTGTGTTAGTACTAATTCAATGCTTAGTGATATTGATAGAGAAGAATAAAAATGAAATTGGTAGGCTATGGCTGACTACTCTCTACAGAAAACACAATTTGTCCCAAGTATTGCTAGAGCTATCATAAAGCAACAATAACAGATCCTGCCTCTCCTTCATGAAGTATCACAGGAAATCAATATAGTATGAAAGTATTTCTACATCCACATTTCAAGGGTTGCCAACACCATACATGTTAATGTCCATGTAGCTTCCCACTTAATTGGATAAAAACAAAAGAAGCATTGTTCTTCTTGTCTCATTTTAGCTTATAAAACTTCTCCATCTTGTGAAGTCTTACCCAAAAAAGTAATTAAACACATTTTCAACAATCGACACTGAAACATTTAAAATCTTTTTGTCCAACATTTTAAATGTCACTTCACATAAATATATGTAAGTTCTAAATAACACATAATTATATTTTCCTTTACAGAAGACATGCGAAAAATGGTGGTGGAAAGAGAGCAGTTACAGTCGGAGGTCTTGGGGCTTCGTGCAGCACTCCAACAGTTGCAGACGCTCAGCGAGAATCAGAAGTCAGAAATACAGAATCTACAGCTTCTTGTCACTGGTGAGTTCAAGTTCATGTGTGATGTATGCTTTTTTTGTATAGGTTGACATAATATTTTTATTATTGTACTTGTTACTTGTATATAAAATTAATATTTATTCATATTCAAAATATCTTTATGCAAATATATGCTTGGGCATTCTTATGAAACATCTAATTTTACGTAAAAATTAATACCAAGTTAGGTTCCAACAGTTATTGTCCCATGAAAATTGTGATATATTTAATTACAATTTTGTATCATATGTATTAGTTTTTACAATGTTTGTTAAGAAGTGTTAAACACAGATATTCGCTTTTATTATATCGGCCAATAAATTGATGAGGTTGAAAGAGTTATTGCTACCCAATTCTCATTGATATTGGACCACCATTATCTTGAAAGATAAAGTAAGACTTTCATACCTTGAGTTGTATTTATTGAAGTGCAAGTCACATAGGCGGGTCCTAATTTGATCTTTTAAAGATCAATAAAAATGTATGCTTTATTAAGAAACACGGTATTGGTCAACACCATTATTGATTTTACTATGTTGACTAGGTAAAAAAATGCTGATTAATAAATCAAATGGCTATCATAATTAATAAGAGTTCATTGTTGAGTACTGGTAATTAATTATATTCAAAATTCTTTTTCCTCATTGTGTTAATGCTCATTTTGGTTATAAAACTTAACCAGTCAGTGACATGTTGCCATCATTCTGCTTATTGTGGGGCACAAAAGGTAATTTTTAATGTTGTATCTCCTAGATATGTAAATTTTGAACACAACCTGAGCAATAATATAGAATTAACTGAAAGCAGGTATTGAATTATATTTCTAGAATCACTTCTATCTATATAGATTGAATAATCTATATAGTATAATAATACATAGATGACCAAGCTCCACTCACCATTTTTTGTCTGTAATGTTTTTTTTGGTAATATTACTGGATAAGGTTATTTATATTCGAATAATGTCATATAACACCGTCTGACAAAATTTTGAGGTTCCTGGGAGAAGGGTCGCTAACAATCTTTCTCCAATGATGTCCATTAACATTAAGTATTGCCCCTTCCATTGATACAGAGACGGTGGAAGCGTCTTCTTCCGGTACGGAGGAGATGCGCCGCCTTCGCGCCAGGAATCTGGAGCTGGAACAGCAGCTCAACCAGCTCAGGCAGCAACAGGTGAGGGGTGATATATTTTATTGTAGTAGAACATAAGTAGGGTGCCACAGAAGACAAATGTGTACTTATAAGTATATATATACATGATTTTACTTTTGTGTTTTGTCCATTGAGTCCACTAACTGACACTCACTTTCCCATGGCCACTTGTGAGTGCAACCATGCGGAATATTCCTCCCTTACCATCGGATGAACTACTTGCTCGGCTAACATCTGAAATTAAATAATATGTTAAAATCTTATTTATCTGTATTTGTCCCGGTCGGAGAAATTATGTGGACCCTGTAATGCTTTAGCGCCGTCATCAATATATGGTATTTGTATGATATAAAAGAATTGTCCTGGGTCTGGGTTTTAGTCTGTAATTATCATGGAATGTTATTCTAAGGTAGGAGTATTAAAAAAAGAGGAAAATAACCTACCAGTAAACATTATGATTATAAATTAACCCTTTCATTTTGTTATAAATTCCTAGATATACATATGTGTACTGTTATACTACCCGTTATCACATTGACGATACAGCTGTTCTATCTTTAAACCTGCTGTTATTGCTGGGCACAAATAGGACTAATTTTTTTATATATATTTCCAAACCTCATACTAAATTGCTGAAATTTCCACCTATATTCTCACATTGTGGTTTAGTAACTAAATGTCAAGTTTGCAGATTATATAGGAATTTTCACTTTCGTACGAGAATTGTCTATTTTTTTATGTTTCTACATGTAGCAACCACCACTTTTGTAAGTAATGTTAATTTGAACAAAAATGTTTTTAAGTAGATCGCATACAGCAATTATGTAAATTTTAGCCTTTTGATAAGCGCTGCGGGTGCACAAACGTTTTTAGAGATAATTAAACGAATTATAGTCTTATCGACACCACGTAAAGTTCATAATGTGTTTTAGTAACGCTATCGATTTTAATACGCGTTCGTATCGTAAAAGTGACTAACTGTGGCTGATACTTAGGTTAGTGCATTTTCTTGTTTATGTGTTATACCTAAAACGCTTGAAACATTTTTGTAATAACAATAAAGTTTTATATTATTTAAATAAAACTGATCAGTTTTGTAATATCTTAAACCTGATTGGATCAATCCATCGTTTTATTTCTCTTACGTCGTGAAAGTAATAATTTCAACCATTGTCAATATTTTAACCTTTTTATTAGATTTGTGATTGGATTATAGAAGATACAAATAAGACTTTATTTCAAAGTTATTTTCAATTCTAATTTAATTTAAGCATTCATCAATTTTTTGAAAATTTTAATTTAGGTGTAATATAAAATGCTTTTAATTAATATTTAAAATGCTTTTAATTGCTTTTAATTATTATTTTTTTTTTGATTAAATACAATACAGATTACCTGCTACATTATAAACACAATTCAAATGTATATTTTATCTATAAAATAGCACTTAGGTTACGTAATAGATACGACGATTTATTATAAAAATACTACATTAAAACCCTATTATGCCTTAATACTACTGTGCCTACTGAAAACAGGTCAGCTCTGTTTTTATTTTAATGAACTCTTTTCCAAATTTTCCATTAAGCTAAAGTTCTCAAATGTGTCACATAACGAACTATTTTACTTATTTAAATAGTAAATTGCAACGCTGCTCATGTTGTTCATGTATATGTTAATAGTATTCAAGGGAAACGTCTTCACTCTAGTCTTGCTACTTAGTCGGGCTGTATCCATTGTTAGTGTCATGCGCTATTGTGAAAGTGAAATTTTCAATAAGTTGTCTTCCTTTCCTTTTTGAGTAGTTACTAGAATCATCACTCATAAATAAGTTAGGTATAAAGAATGCAATGTACCTGAGAATGATAAATTGATACACGTTGCGAAATAAGTGTTCTTTTTTAATATTGATAATGCGTCCGGATATTAATTTTATTAGCGTATAATTAAGCAAGCTTCAGTAGGACACTTATCGTAATATACTTAGCATACTCAAAATGGAGATAGGATCTGAGTTTGCCAACCGCCTGTGGCAGGAGATGTCTCTCGCTCCGGCCACCTTCGTGCGCTCGCTCGCCCGGAAGCTGGGGGCCGACACCGAGACAGAGCAGCCCCCGCGAAAGGTACCAACACACGCATACACGCAATATACAACAATATATAAAAATATTAACGGTGGTAGGGCCACGCGGCAGCCTCGGCTGTTGCACGAATGGGCAGGCTCGTCCGGGTAAGTACCGCGACCTCACAGAAGACCGGCGTAAAGTGGAAGTATACTTTCGCGTTTCCCCTGTTGAGTGAGGTGGCCAGAGCCCAATTTTCAAAAGGTTGTCAACGCATCTGGAACCCTCGGGTGTAGCAGACGTCCATGGGCGGCGGTATTCACTTAACATCAGGTGAACCGTCTGCTCGCTTGGCAACTTTTCACATAAAAAAAATATAATTTTATCTTTGTGTGTTCAATCCGGCCTATTTTGTTTCTAAAATATTTTAAAAACTGGTACTGCCTATCTGCCTGTAGTCAAATCATCATCATTTCAGCATGTCTAGTGCTGAACATAAGCCTTCCCCACAGACTGCCACGAAGCACGGTCCTGAGCCACCTACGTCCATCTACTAACAGCACACTAGCTCCCACTAGGCCCTCACTCCATTTAGTGGGAGGTCGTCCCACACTACGATGACCAATAGGAGGTGGCCACTCGAACGCCTTTCTTAGTTTTCTTTCTTTTCCTCTTAGTCAAAAGCGAGTCCATTATGGTCTGTAGACATCTTTGTGAGAGGTTTGTATGTTCGTTTGTATGTTGTATACCGTTCACAAAGTATTTTACATATTTTAACTTCACCCGGTCCTTTGTGAAGCCGTGGCCCTACTGCAGACATGTTTGCTTCACTTCAATTCAAATATCAACTTGGATTCGTTTTCTTTGTTCTTTGTTGCAACAGTTATAATGTATTTATGGTCGTCCTCATCGACGTGATTACCCCCTGTATTCTGCATTGCAGAACATTGAAGACAGCGAACTGATGAGCTCCATAATCCAGCCACTAGAGATGGAAATATCGGCGCTGAAGAACAAGCTAAGGGAGACGGATGCCCAACTACAGGAGGCCTTGGTAATGAACGCATGCTAATTATTTATTTAACAATGATATTTATAATGTTTCCGGACACAAATATAAGACAGCTAATTTTATAAATAAGAATAGAAGATAAAAAAATAATAATATATGTCTGAATGAATACGAAAACTCGCTTCTTTTTCTGGAATAAACCCGCGACCTCACATTGCACATCTGACATTCCAGCCGCTTGAGCATAGCTGTTTTTAAAAGAAGTCTATGCTCCTATGTTTGAAACGTAAAAGTATTTTAAAGATATATTTTTACAGAAGGTACCTTCGCTCGTTTGTTAGAAATATGTTTAAAGGTTATAATAATATCTATCTCTCTATCTATATAGAAAGCGAAGGCTACACCTACCGCAACTCCCGTGTCGACCGGCTCGAGTGGCGACGGAAAGCTGGAGACAGGTGAGAGCAGCACTGAACAACTGTAGTTCACATATATCTTAAATTCACTGAAAGTTAAGCCCGTGTGATAGAATACAGGAACCGATGTTGCTTATATTAAGTTTTGCAAAAGTAATAGGATGGAAAGATAGAATTCACAAATAAAACAGTTTTTGATACATTATGCAAATGTCAATTATCATTTTTATGTCCATTAGTGGGACAAGTATAATATTTTTATTTAAAGAAACAAAACACGCTTCAAATATCTCACTTATTATACATTTCTTTTTGTGGTGTTCCCTGATGTATCTTTAGAGTCCAATGTGCACTACATAAATGAGTTTTTAGGTGGTAAACACTCAGCTTTTTTGAAGTCGGTTGCTAGATGCGAGTGTTAGTGAAAATCGATTATCAATTATCCGGCTCGAAGGACCATGTCATGCAAATTTGAGATATACTGTAGGAATTGCTTTCGCAGACGCGGCGCGACAGTGCGACATGTGCGCTAACTACGAGCGACAGCTGGTGGCCGAGCAGGGGCGGGCGGACGCTGCGCGGGAGCGAGCGAGACAGCTGGAGCAGGCGCTCAAGCTGGTGAGCTGTGCCTAGGGGGCGTCGCGATCGGTTCGGAGCTGGGGCTCTTTTAGGCTGACGGCTCACCCGATGCAAATGCGCAACCTCCTAATGAGCCCAGTGGAACGTCGCAGGCCACGGAGGAGCTGGAGGGGGTGCGCGCCATCCACGAGGAGACGGTGCGCGGCAGCGGCGCGTGGCGCGGCGAGGGCGCGGCGCAGCTGGCGGCGCTGGCCGAGCGGCTGCGCCGGGCCGAGGCGGCGCAGCGCCGCGCAGAGGACGCCGCCGCCGACCACCACCGCCGCGCGCTGCACATGGTCACCACGCTCACCGTCGACCGCGAGACGCTGCAGCGCAAGCTCGACGCGTCGGTCTCTTTCGCTCCCGGCTTTTTCCTGTGTTATTTGATGAGCATTTACGATGCCAGGGCCACGCGGCTAATGGGCAGGCTCGTCCGGGTAAGTACCACGACCTCACAGAAGACCGGCGTAAAGTGGAAGTAGAATACTTTCGCGTTTCTTCTGGTGAGTGAGGTGGCCGGAGCTCAATTTTCAAAAGGTTGTCAACGCATATGGAACCCTCGGGTGTAGCAGATGTCCATGGGCGGCGGTATTCACTTAACATCAGGTGAACCGTCTGCTCGTTTGGCAACTTTTCACATAAAAAAGCAAGACACACGAGCGAGCCGGTCACCCGATGGTAAGCGATCACCGCCGCCCGTGGCACGTGCAACGTCGGAGGAGGCACTATTGTATGCGAACGATGCGACTCAGGGACCTCTTCTTGAGGGTCCCTGAGTCGCATCGGAAATACCGCTGGCGACAACTGGTTCCACAAAGTAAATGTGGAGCAGAAAATTGCGTAATAAACGAACAGTTCTAGACCGCTAATCATCAAGGTGGCTACATGCTCCTCACATCATGTGTATAGTCTTGTCACCCACACTTAATGTTTTCTTAGTAAGTTTTTAATTCCATTGTCAGTGACTGCTGAGCTGTTGGACTCGGCACCGTAGGTCGTGGGTTCGATTCCCAGACGAGACAAGTATTTGTGTGCCCCATAGGTAATTGTTCGAGATCTGGTTGATTTTCCCAAGGGTTGACATCAGGCAGGCGACTGATAGTAAAAAAACAGTGTACAACATGATTCACATCCTGTTCACCCGACCCCACCTCAGTGAGAAATAGGCAGGAGGACGATAGTGACGAGTAAAGATTTCACAGGAATAAGAAATGTATGAGACTACAGATTTTTCTATGGATTTCGGGCTATTTTGCAATACATAATTACTTTATAACATATTTTAATATACTTATTATAGAAATATTGCTTGGAGCAAAAGGAGACTTTTATTGAATGGTAATTTGGTTTTTAGATTAGAACGAGACAATGCAATGTTGGTCGGTCAGTACACAAAGAAGGCGGCTGAAATGCAGAACGAGATAATAAATTTGCCAGACAATGTCGAGGTAAACACACGCAGTAGACAGATATAGAATTGTCATTGAAATGTATTTATTTAATGTAAAAAACATACTTTTTTATTTGAGAAGGTGCCAAGCAAGCAGTCGGTTCATCTGATGTTAAGTGATAATCGCTGTCCATGAACATTTCCAACATTTGCCACCTTTTATTGAAGTGGACTCCGGTCACCTCACTTACCAGACGTAACACTTCCACTTCGCACTGGTCTTCCGTGAAGTTGTTGTACTTATCCGGACATACCTGCCCATTTGTGCAACAGGAAACACTGCTGTGGCCCTACCACAGTTAGTCTGTTCCAGTCCATCTCTATGTATTAATGAATTTTCATGTGCCATTTGTAATAGCTTTCCTTCATCTTCTGATAGTTGACTAGTGAACACTTGTTATTGGATGTTGAACTTTGTTAAGTTTTGTATGGATTTGGTTTTATCAGAATAAAGGGGGAAAGATCTTGAGGTAGAGCAGTGTGGCTACCTCAAGACTGGCTGGTATTCTATTGCTTTGCGACAGGCCGAATACAGGGGCTCCTGGCGGAAATTAGTAGACACCACCATCCTTGCCCACTAACAGCAACAGGAACCAACTGTATTTACACGACCCTTAGAAATGGAGAGTTCAATGAAGTGACAATATGAAACAAACAACTGATCCCGTGGCGCAGTCGCCAAGATGTTTGCTTCATGCGCGTCGCGGGGTGTGGGTTCGATTTCCACACGGGACAACTATTTGTGTGACCCACAGATAGTTGTTTTGCCGCGAAATTTATGTTTTATTTTTTTATTTTGTGGAAAACCGGCAGCTAATTTAACATAAATAAGAAAACGAGATAATAACAAGCCAGCCAATTACAGGTTTTCACTGATAGAAAACTAAATGAATTGCGGTTTTGTGATTCCAGGCTTTTAGCACCATAATTCCGAACATAAGACATGGCATATTTATATAAAATGTAACAAAAGAAATGTATGTTTGTAAAACGTCCTTGCAACATGTAGGAGCTGCAGGAGCAGCAGCTGCGGCTGCGCGAGCAGCTGATCGTGTGCCAGGTGGGGCGCGAGGAGGCGGCCGCGGCGGAGGCCGAGCTGCGCGCCCAACTCCTCGAGCACGGCGCGCTCTTCCACCGCCAGGAGGGGGCGCTGGCCGCCGCCACGGCGCAGCTGCGCGACGCCAAGTCAGCGCCCGCCTCTATGCTCACTTCATTCACGCCCTGCTTTAGTCGTCGAAACCCTCAGTTCCCCCCAGGGGAGCCTCGACGGGGGTCTACGTTGGCGTGACAAAACGTCACATTTTTTGTCGAGCTTTGGGAAAAAAGTAAAGTAACAGCCTATACATGTCCCACTGCTGGGCAAAGGCCTCCTCTATACAGAGGGTATCAGGGCATAGTCCACCACGCGGCCCCACTGCGGATTGGCGGACTTCACATATTTTCGAAATATAATTTTTTGTTATTATTTTGAAAATATGCAGGTTTCCTCACGATGTTTTCCTTCACCGCGGAGCACGTGATAAGTCAGCACTTAAAGTTAAAAACTTCATTGGTGCCGGCATCGGGGATCGAACTCAGGTTGCTCGAGTATATTGAATTAAAGGCGAGCGCCCGGACACTGAGCTATCACGGCTATGAGCTTTGGGAATATGGTAAAAATATTGAGGGGGGGTTCCACCAGAACCGGCTACATTTTGAAAGTGGTCTATGAGAAAAAAATTCTGCGAATCTTTAATCTAAACCTCCGGAAGCAGACTGAGCTTAGAACATGTAGCTCCACTCTAGTTCATAAAACTGCTGAATATGCTGGATGGAGTAACTAGGGTGACACCAAAGCTAGTTAAGCTCGGATATAACAACGCACCGCCACGCCTCTACTTCGCATGTGAGATCGCTTCAGGATAGGATAAATTTGCACACTACTTTGCGGTAACACGAATCCTCTTCCTTTGTGGGTATGGACCTTGATGTCCAATCGTTATTCATAACATTCCGATCGCAGGGAGGAGCTGGACAGGCTACAGACGGAGCGCGAGCAGATGAAAGAGCTCGGCGACAAGCTGCGCCACTCCAACGACATGATCGAGCAGCTACTCGAAGACAAGGTGATTGTTGTGTTGGTGTGAAAAAACGACAGACTACAACTTTCTCACTGTATTAATTTAAGAGTTAGAAAGTAATTTTTTTTAGTGCTAATCTCTGCACATAAGACTGAACATTAAAATTTGTAGAAACAGTACGAAAGGATTGTCGCCGCGGTGGGAAACGAACCCACGTCTTCGGCATTCGCTGAAAACGGCTGATTGCCACACCGACGAAAATCTCAACGTCTTTTATCTACTTTGTTTTTAGCATTGGATGCACCAAGTTGCTTCAAATTAATTCCAACAGCGGCGACGATCTTTTCGTACTTTTTCAAACTACTTTAAAGTTTTAAACAAATTTTAAAGTTAGAAAGGAGATTAGGCTAAACCATTGCCTGCAAAGTGCTCCCGGTGTGTGCTGAGGATATCTGAGGGGCGATTGAAACCATGATAAGATCAATTTTTATTTTTACTTCCTTACATATTGCTGTACAAACTTAGAAGAAGCTTTTCTGGGGGGCATTAGATAACCAATTTTTTCTAAAATGGCGGTACAGTAAAAAAGTTTGAGATACGGACTAGACTGGGCTAATCGAAACGCTGACCTTGGACGGTGTGATTGCAGAAAAATCTGCAGAGCGAGGTGAGCGAAATGCGCGGGCGGGTGCACGCGCTGCAGCAGGAGTTGGACAACAGTGAGAAGGTGCAGCAGGACTTTGTGCGCCTCTCGCAGTCACTGCAGGTACCTCTACCATGTATTTTCTCCCATTTTTAAAGTGGGTGCCAAGCAAGCCGGGGGTTTACCTAATGTTAAGTGATAATCGCCGCCCCAATAATGGACTTACAATACCAGCAGTATGGCAGATACGTTGCCATCTTTTACTAAACTGGGCTCTGGCTACAGTAATCACCGGACGGAATGCAGAAGTGTAACACTTCCACTACACGCCAGCCTTCTGTGAGGTCGTGGTACTTACCTGGACGTCCCTGGCCATTCGTGCAACAGCCAAAGCTGTTAAATATTCTATATAACTCTCGTTTACCTTTCCTATCTGCGACCGGCAATGGTGTTAAGTGAATGATGGCAAATGTTTACCACTCCCCCACAGAAAATCCACCAACATTTTATACACTTTATTTTTATCCCATATCAATAATTTCCAAGTGCAACTCACAGATACCATAATTTCCACCTTACACGCATTATACACACAAAGCTACATGTATTATTCAATAGATGACGCCTTGGAAACTATTGCTATACCTCCCACTAACAGGCCCAATATTATGAATCTTATAAACTATGTCAATCTACTGCTATATTACTATATAAATCTAGTAGTATTTTGACAATTAATTAGTATTTTCTGATCTGGAAAGATGTAGACTAATCAATCAGTAAGCGTAATGCTTCAATATTGAATTAAGATATTTGAGATTTGGTTCTAACACAGAATTACATTAACTAATAAGAATCGGATGTTATGAAACTCTGTTTGTGGTGCTTGCAGGTGCAGCTGCAGCGGATTCGCGAAGCGGACACGGAAGTGCGGTGGCAACACGACGAGGACGTCAACGAGTGCCCGAGCTGCCACACGCAACTCCCCAATAGCAAGAAGAAGGTGAACCTTTTGTAGTGAACAAACTAGTACTCAGGAATAACTCACACTTTGTAGTACAGTGGAATAAGCAAGATCATCTTATATTGTGATTCGAAGACGTATAAGAAAGTATATATTATGGATTTTGTTTTAATTATGACACTAAATAATGAATTTTCAAGAAAATTAACTTGGAACAGTTGAAATAAAATATATTCTTGCACAAAATCATTGGAGTTCATAAAGCTGTCTGAACAATAATTACAAATTTACCTGTTCCTTATTCCTGTTCTATTACAAAAAGACTGGTAGGGCCATGCAGCAGCCTTCCCTGTTGCGCAAATGGGCAGCTCTCTCAGGGTCATGACTTAGCAGCCCGTGGTCAGTGCGTGTCACCTGCAGGTGCACTGCCGCCACTGCGGGCGCATCTTCTGCGGCGCGTGCGTGGCGCACGTGGTGGCGAGCGGGCCGCGCGGGGCGCCGGCGCGCGTCTGCTCCGTCTGCCGCACGCTGCTGCAGCCGCACTCCGCGCCCTACTTCAGCACCGACCCGCCCCACTCGCCCGACTGAGCGCGCCCCCGCCCTCACCGACCTATCATACGTTCTACATCATATCCATATTATTGAACATCATTGCCCCCAACGCTCGAAACAAAAACAGCTCCAATCTATAGTGCCGAACGTCGCTGCAAGATGTACCATGAGAAGTATGTTGTCAAATAACTGTGATGTGACCGTGGGACTATCCTGTTTGAACTGGGACGGAGACTTGGTAGACGCACCGCTAAACATTTTTAAACTTGGCCAGCTTTTGCAAAGAAAGTTAATCTATGCATGGCAAGATTGGGGGTCTAAATAATTGGGAAAATTTTCACACCGCCACACCATTTCCATTAAAACGTAATTACCTATTTTATATTAATTTAATATACATTTACCTCTTAGAAACAGTTGATGCTTGGCTCGATGATGTCTCTATTTGTCAGAGATTTGTGTACATACATACTGTTTTAGAATTTATCTATAAGTAGATACAAAAGTTCACATAGGTTATATAAAATGTTGGTGATGCGCTGTGATTTGAGATGTTCAATCTTAAAATAATGATGCTAGAATAATTTCGGAACAAACTAGTATTGACAATGGCGAACATGCGCTTTGTTGAAACATTTGTTATCAATAAATTATATATGTATATAAATATTCACTGGAAAATTTTATCATCACAGTTTATTTATGGATTTTAAACTTTTACTGTCAATGAAATGTATAAGAGTGAAAAATATTTAACTCAATATATACTTTTTCTTTGCCTCTAATAGACAATTCAAAAAGTCCAACAAAATAATTAGGATATTAGCTTCAGTACTTCTTCTTTATTGTTTCATTTTTAATTGGATTAACTTAAACGAATTAACAATGCGTGCTCTTTATCCTTATAAAAGAGTTAGTCAATCGTTTTCGGTTAACGCTCCACAAACACGCCTTCATATTGTGTTGTCATGAACTACGCATTTCAAAAAGAAACCCGGCTGTGTGAGACGTGGCAGAGACGGCCGTCATGTGATAATCCAAGTGCTAAGTTATGACCTGCATTATTGTATGATAGATATATATTTTATTGTAAATAATAAAGAGCTCGATGATTTAACTATTGTTGTATTTAATCATGATCTCCATTAAATATTATGTTAATGTATTTTTTAAAGATACATTACCCCCAATACAGGATAAAATTAAGTTTCGTTAATCACAATTTGAAAATGGACATACGCAAAAGAATTATATGAGGATCATACTATTGCTTGTCTCGGATTCCAAAGCAAAATAACTAAGCAATTCCTCTAGCCAAGCTACATTTCAGTATCATCTTAAGTGCAGAGACTAGCACTAAGAATAAAAATCAAAAATTAAATTGCATTTTAGACATCTTTTAAAATTCTAAATTCAAATTCTTCTAAATTTATTTTCCTAAAAAACTAAATAGAAGCAACGGAAATGTTTTTATACATAGAAAATGGAGAATTGAGCTTTAGATGGCATTTTCTATGTCACATAGACAATTATGGTGGGACGAAAATGGACGAGAACCTATCAAAACCGAACCAAATCTACTTGAACCTAAAGAGTCAATCTTCCGGTTGAAATATTCTAGGGCATATTATATACACAACTAGCTGACCCAGCAAACATTGTTTTGCCATATAAATTATTTGAAGGGTAGAAAAAAATGTTTGGGATGGACCACCCTTAACATTTAGGGGGATGAAAAATAGATGTTGTCCGATTCTCCACCCTGGCCGACATGCACACAAAATTTCACAAAAGTCGGTCGAGCCATTTCAGAGGAGTTCAAATACAAACACCGTGACACGAGAGTTTTATATATTAGATATAACAAACATTTATAGATAGCGATCATCCAAAATAAAAATATAACCGTTTGGTGTGGTGTAGAAGAATAAGAGGTCTAACCCCAAATAAATTGGGATAATAGCTAGGAGAAACAAGATTTACCAGGAGAGCTGAAAGTCGTAGGAGATTTATGCTTCTCAAACATGTCTACTACTATAACTTTATTATTGTACATTAGGTTTTTTTTATTTTTTTTTGTACTAAAATAATAAAATAATTCATAACATTTTAAGGAAAAACACTGTATTTTATTGTTAATATATTCACGTATAAAACAATATTGCATGTTTCTATTAATTGCTAAACATTTAGAGAAAAAAAGACATTAATACTTATGATAAAATTTATTATATAAACATTTCATAATAGCACAACATACTATCTACAGTTGCCACATGCGTTACACTGGAAGTACAGTCGTCACCAACTCAGAACCTCAAAGGAGTTACCGAAAACAAATTTGTACTAAAATTATCATATACAAAGCTTGTGGAGTTGGAGCTACTAAAAATACAAAAAGCGGCATATTTACTCATTTTCCTCTTTATTATTCTGCAGGATAATTGTTCTTAACAATACCATTGTCCTAACAAGTTTTGTAAAGCTTGCAGCAAAATTAAAGAAATTGAACACAAGGTAATACAAATACTTCACTAACTTTTAGACAACATTAACTCGCAAAAAATATATATATAATGACTTAATGAAAGTTAAACCCCTTTTTTATAATTTTAACATTTTATCGTAAAATTGTAATACCCGTCTCCACCCAAATCAATATCTATTATTTAATAACATACCTAAAGATCAGTCTTGACCTTTGTTTGATACTCCCCTAGACAAATACTTTTCTATTGAAACCATTAAAGTTGTCATTAGTCAAATAATTTCATTACCGTAGGCTGTCAAATGATAGACATGAAGTTTTACATAATAATTCCTAATACTTAATTATGAAAACAGAGTATGCATGAACCATTGCAGTATTGTACACACATAGATTTAAATTATATTGTATTCCTTGTTTAACATTTTAGTTAAAGTTGAAACATAAAAAATATACGATGGTAATATTTCCTTGACATTATATTTGAAAGGTTTTCACATTATATATGTGCAAGTACAACATGCTATGTGAACTCTAAAACGCACCAAAAGAAGTAAAGATTGAGTGCAGTTCTCTTCTGGACATTAAATATGGCACACAGGCAAGGATGACGAGGAGCAATATAGATTTGTATCATAATTGCAGTATATATCGAAATTTATAATTTTATGAAATATCAAGTGAACATGGTAAAATGAACATATAAATTCAAACATAATGAATGACTGTGGTCATTATTCAAACTAACATACTCATTCTTCTGATTGTTCACAAACATTCCTTCCAGAAGCGCTTAGAAATGCAGCGGTATTAGACATTTATACAAATACAATTGAATAGAAAACTAGTGGAGATTTGAGGGCAAAATTGAGACAGGAAAGTTACAAAATATTTTCACTCTCTTATCAGCTATGAGACTAAAATACCTGAATACTTTAATAAGGTACCATTGAAGTACAGTTTTCACATATCTATAATAGTTTCTAGACATTGGTGTCTGAGAGTTAAAAAATTCTAAGACTATTTACATAGTCACGAATGTAATACCATTTATATGAAGTAGGAACAAAAACTACATACAAAGATCTACCATGTTATCCAGTTAGATACAGTCAAAATTGTGTTTTTTTTTTAATGTGAAAAGTTGCCAAGCGAGCAGGCGGTTCAACCGATGTTAAGTGATTACCTCCTCCCATGGACGTCCGCTACACCCGAGGGATGCAGATGTATTGACAACCTTTTGAAAATTGAGCTCCGGCTACCTCACTCACCAGACAAAACGCGAAAGTATTATACTTCCACTTTACGCCGGTCTTCTGTGATGTCGTGGTACTTACCCGGACTGCCAATTCATACAACAGCTGAAGCTGCTGCGTGGCCCTACCATCGTCAAATTATTTTATACAAACACAAAAAATTCAGTCAAGAAATGAATATAATGGTCTTATTTATACCTAGTTGTGATTTTTGTAGATTAAAATTCAATATTAACATTTTATTTTAGTAATATAACTCAGATTTTATTCAAAAAGTCATATGAGAGAGACTATGAATAGTTTCAAGACTTTAAATACAACTAAACTGGGCATGGTAATTTTTATTCGATATGCAAATTCAGTGTGATCAAGGTCTTGAGAGTAGATGTTTTTGTTTGTTACTGGTTGATTAAATGCTGTTTGACTTGTCATAAAAATTATATTGAATTATATCGAATATAAACGTTGAGTGGTTAAGTATTCGTTTGGAGGGATCACGTAAGCAAAAAAAATGCCATAAGAGAAGGAGGGACTAAATGTTATTTTGTTAACATAAATATCACACTTGGTTAGTTGAAATATTCTAAAATAAATTGTTAATACTTAGGTGTTCGGTGCAACACCCAAAGTAGAAATTTACGAGCGAAATTAATCTAATTGTAAGTTTTGCAACATTTCGAAAATGTTACCAAAAATTTGGATTAGACATTGCAAAACCCTGACATTTCTCTTTCAGCCTCAAATTAACTTATTACATCTTTTTAGCCTGGAATAAATAGTTACAACTTTCGGATGGTCTAATGTCTATATATGACAAAAACCAGGAAATTCTTGTTTTGGTAACCTATAGAAATACCAATATATCAAGGGTGCACACTACACATATATTCGAAATATTTCATCTAATTAAATCCATGTCTCCTCTCGATGTTTTTTTAAAGTGATAAATTACAACTTAAAATTGACATGAAAATTGGTACCTAAAGTTTCCCGAATTTAAAGCAAACGCGTGAATTTTCTCTACTATGGCTCAAGAACATCATAACGTGATAAACGTCCAAATCTTTCATAACCATTATATGGATATAGAGTAAGCCTAACGCCCGGTTTCTGAAACACCGATCATTGTAGAAGTTAACTAATCAGATGTCAAATGTCTTTTCAACTGGTATTTAAGTTACCAAAAGGATGGTTAAACTCTCTGAATTGATCAGAACGATCTTTTTAATGATCAAATTGACATTAGGTAGTTAATCTTGAGCCTATGAAATATTCTGTGACAAAGTAGGTGCAAAGTTAAAGCCAGAGGTGTGGTGTTTATCCACGAGTAGTTCAAAAGTGGTGCGTCAAGGGCTCTGGCTTAGCCCGTTCGTAGAACAGCATGTAGGCTGTGCAGCGCAGCACTTCCTGCAGGGTCACCTCGTGCACCAGCGTATCCGAAGTGTACCACCATCTGGCAATGTGGTAATAGTGGTGATTCGTTAGGGCTTTTGAAGATTAGACTGGAAAAATTTACATTTTCCTCGGTCTTTTGTCGTCAAACGTGTTTTGACGTTTTTACATTCATTAATAACCGCATAAGCAATCAATTTTCGGACGGGAACTTTAATGTATGTCGTTTAAGTATTTGCTTATGCTATTTGCTAGATGTTCTCCATAATATATAGAACGAGGTATTAAGCAATTGTCCCTGCCACATCACACTTTGTTTTAATTTCGCACTATCGCACTTCTATCGTCCATCCTCTGTCAAAATGGCCCTTCGAGCCGGATAAAGTGACCGAAAAAAGAGTGACTCTGACCTCTTGCTCTCGAAGCCGTTGCCCCTGCGGTAGGTGGCGAAGTGGCCGGAGCGCGGTCCGCCCACGTGCACCACCACCGCCACCAGCCGGTAAAGTGCGCGTTCCGCGTCCGCTCCCGCCCCCGCCTCCGCCCCCGCCACGCTCAACGCCGCCAGCCCGCTGCGCAGCCGCCCTTCGCCCACCAGCGTCGCCAGTTCCGGCTGCATGTCGAAGACAATATTTGTTACACCTTGGACGAGCGTTTTTCTATGTGAGAAGGGGGCATGCGAGCTGGCGGTACAACTGATGTCAAGTCAACGCCATCTACGGACATTTGCCACACCTGTAAGGTTGCATTGCCACCTTTTAGTAAGTAGGCCCCGGCTACCTTACTCACCGGGCGAAACGCATAATATCACACTTCTACTTCACGTCGGTATTCTGTGAAGTGGTGGTACTCTCCTTAACCGGACCTGCCCATCCGTGCAACAGCGAAGGTCATGCGTCCCACGACAGATTGGCCTTTCTTGAGTCGAGAACACAACGCCAGCGGAGGAGCTTGCACTGACCTGCGGCTGGTGGCGCACGGCGTAGGGCGCCATGTTGAGGGTCTCGGGGAAGGCGACGAACTCTGCGCGCTTGCTCAGCTCGCCGCCCGCCCACTCCACGCGCGCCACGTGCAGGCACAGGCAGCACGGCAGCTGCACAGAACTCGCTTGGAACTCATATTCTTCGATTCACTTGTCCTTTCTTGGTTCGCACGGAGGACTGATATCTCGATAAGACACTTTCCGAATTTATTACGTTTACAAATCATCGTCGCATATTTGCTTTCGTTTTGATTGTGACAAATCTGGCAATAAATAGATTAGTACAAAATGATAAATAATAATCAAATTTAGTTTTTCATCCCTTTGCAATTTAAGCATGTGAAGCGATTCTACTTCTATTCGACGGAATAGTTTTAAATTGTTGTGAGGATAATGTAGATAAACAACATAGCACAGAAGATTAGTAAATGAAATGGCGATGGGATATAATTATAGTATCGATAAGCGATGAGGAAGAAAGGTTCTCGTGTGCCGTTGCAGTGTGGGACAACTCCCCAAGTCCCCACTAGATGGAGTGACGATCTGTGCAAATGTGTCTATGGATGCAGGTGGCACGTGCTTCGTGGCCGAAAGCTTTCAGAAGATGAAATGTTGAAAGCTTTGAAGATCTCACCTTGCCAAAGCTGAGGGTGCGTATGTGCTTGGTCCGTGTGGCGATGGGCGGGGCTACGTTGTTGGGGGCGGAGTCCGCACCGGGGGCGGGGCTTTGGGCGGCGCACTTGGAGCAGCGCACGCCCTGCACCATCTCGGGCGCCGTGAAGGCCCGCAGCAGCCCTGCGAGCACCCTTTCGTACAACACCCACAGAGCAGCGTCCATGAATGGCTATGTAGACCGTAGATAGTTCAAATACAATGGATGAACAATTATATAATTATTGTACTGTACTATGCTATTATTGCAGTTCATTGCCATATTCTATTGGTTCATTTTTGAATTCCCAGAAGTCCACTGTTTAACCGGTTAAGTGGGAAGGTCAGGCAACAGGTTCCACTGTTGTTAAAAGGGTAAATAAAAGTGAAAGCACTTATAATACAATGGCAACAAGATTCCCTGAATAAGTTACCAGTGGACCACCCCATCACTCACCAGCGAGGCTGTAGGCGCCATTGCGACCCGTCACCGCGTTAGCCATCGACAGAGAGATGCTGTCGAACTTGTCGTACCGAATCGGGCTCTGTGGATTGGCAGAGTTTAAATCATTCCTATGGGCACCTTGTCAATATTAAGAATGTAAACAGTAAACACTCTAATAAGGAATTGAAAATGCATATATTAATTAATTATTAATTTTTTACCTAAACAATTATTTATTGCCTTTAATATTATCCCAATGACCCATATGAAAGGTGACGGTTAATAGAGTTAAACTGTGACTTATGGTTTCCCCCTAACCTTATCCCATATAGGTCGGGTCGTCACAGCGTGCGATCATGTTATGTATTGTTTGTGGTATTGGCTAGGATTTTTAAGATTTCAACCCCTGTGGAACACATATCTGTGGGCCATAAAAATATTTATCCCGTGTTGGAATCGAACCCACGAACATCGACGCCCAAGCCAATAGCTTAGCAGCGCCGAACACATGAGTCCACATCGAATACGGAATGAGGCATTTGAAATGTTAGAAATCAAACACAAAATATGTATAAAGTTGGTTAGTGGAGTGACCTTTGTGGAGCAGACAGTGCACTGGAGGCGCGAGGCGAGGGTGCCGCGTGTGGGCGGGGCGGGGGCGGGGCGCGAGGGCGGCGCCGCCCACCGGCGGGACGCAGCGCCCAGCTGGCACAGCGACCGGGACACTCCTCGCGACAGACGCGCCGGCTCCGGGGCAGGCTCTGCGCGGAACAAAACATTAAACCCATTTCATTGAACAGATATTCCAGGACGCATTGCTTGTACTTTGGGGACTAGATATCTGATATATTGCGTACTTTTTTTGTAAACAAGTACATAATTATTATGGACATATAAACAGCCAAACACCGAAATGATATTTCTAAAAAATTCTTTGTTCATCCTCAATTTACCAAAGCACTGAGTGTAATTAGCTGATATTTAATAATGTTAACGACAAATGCACTAAATATTCAATATCAACATGTCCAGATGGACACAAATAACCTTTATATAAAGCATAAATTCAAAATTGGTAAGATGTTTGCTATTTTCAATATAATAAACCCACCCGGATCTGCCAGATCGGGCTCATCAGGGGGTGCGGCGGAGGCGGGGCGAAGGGAGAGGGGCGCAGCGGGAGGGGAGGCGGGCGATGCTAATGCCGACCACGCACGTCCCCCGCCACCCAGACCCAGAGCATCCGAGAGGCAACCAGGCTGAAGCAGCATATGTCAATATTTAAAAATAATACAAATATCTTTGTATTCTTTTACATTTTGTCATGCATGTAGTTTTTTTTTATAGGAAAAGGTGGCAAATGAGCTGGTGGTTCCCTAGTGTAAAGTTTAAACTGCCGCCCATGGATATTAGCAACTCCCATAGGTAGCAGATGCATTGCCACCTTATAGTAATGTGAGCCCTGACTAAATCACTCACCAGACGAAATATGAAAGTATAAGTTCTTATTTGAAGTCATGTTACTTCCCCGGACAGACCAGCCCATTTGGGCAACAGTGTGGACTGTTGAGTAGCCATAGCATAGTTGAATAACTAAGAGTTACTAAGATGCACATTTTTAAAGGCAGATTACCATTATCATATACCATCATGTTGATCACTTGTATTTGTATGTGTTTTTCACAATGTATTTTTCAACAAAGCACAAATTACCTGTTTGCAGCCTTAGTACAGACTATCTAATGGGGGTTGTTGGTTGATGGGTGAGTATGTTTCTCATATTGATATAAGCATTAGACATATTATACGATATATTTTCCACTCGGAAGGAATATATAGATGTAGGTAATGCTGTCCACATTTAAAAACTTAATGTAAAATTCAAAAAGTGGAAAAGTCATCAATGCACCCAAATTGTTTGTACAAGAGAACTTCAATTATGAGTCAACTGCCTTAGTATGTATCTTAAAAATGTATTTACTTATGAAATTTTTAAAAATATGATAATATACCTTTCTGGCCATAGCTGTAGTCTCCTCCTCTACACATGATAAAAGGACATGCAATAACTCATGTGCATCCTGCTGGTCTGCAGGAATCACCCAACCAGCGGCCCGTAAGGACTGCAACACACCCAATGGACACACTGGTGTGCCACGAGCTGACTCATGTGTGCCATTTACCACTGTAAGATGTAGGATATGTTAATGGAATGGTTTTTTTATGTGAAAAGTTGACAACTTTTTACATAAAAAGGGGATGGTGGATCAAAAGCTAAAAATAACTGTTCAGTAAGAGAATACAATCCGCATGCTAGGTGCCATTCAGCTTGGGCTAGGTTTGATGGATTTTTTTTTAATGTGAAAAGTTGTCAAGAGAGCAGACGGTTCACCTGACGTTAAGTGAATACCACCGCCCATGGACATCTGCTACACACGAGGGTTTGCAGATGCGTTGACAACTATTTGAAAATTGGGCTCCGGCAACCTCACTCACCAGACGAACGAAAGTATTATACTTCCCCTTTACGCCGGTCTTCTGTGAGGTCGTGGTACTTACACGGATGAGCCTGCCCATTCGTGCAACACCCGAGGCTGCTGCGTGGCCCTACTACCGTTAATTAATGTGTTATGGATAATGTGTTATTTAGTTAGAATTGGTAAACATTGTGTATATTTTATGTAAGATGGTATCATTATTTACTAGGTCTCTCTTACATACTAAACTGAATGTTCTTGTTCCAGTTTAAACTAAGGCAAACAAACCTTCAATTACTGTATACAAGGTTGTTATCATACTGTTGTGTGCGTCGGCTTTTGCGTACTTTTTCAACCATTCTATGAAAATAGGACAAGCGGCCAATGCTTGGAGTAACGTGTTCAAAAAACATGTTCGGCCCAGATTTTGAAGCCCAGCAATCTGTCCGCGTCGCTTTCTAACGCGCGGTGCACCACCAGGTCCCCACAAAACAAAAGCGCCCACAACGACTGCAGCTGTTAGTCCGGCAGCGACCAATATTCTATCGCCGCCATCCATTGTTCCTTGGAATAAAAATCAAGTCTTCTCACATACTAACAGAATGTTTATAGTGACAAATTGTTGTAACAATTGTTATGCATTACAGTGAACGCTAAAACGACATAACTTTTGTTTAATCAAATCATTATTCATTATTGCAGTTGAATTCTGGTTGTGACGTTTCGATTGACACTTTTGAGTTTGACATTTACGCAGTGGTGGTAGTTTTTTTAGCGAAGTGTAATAAGATATTAACCCGACGGCTTAGACAGTTTTGTCAGAATAGATCCGTGGGTAGATGACAAACTAACCCTGTAGAGAACCAAGAAAGCTGGTAAACGACGACGAAACGATGTCACGACCCACTATAACCCCGCGACCCCTGTAGGCGAGTGATGGAAACTCGACTAACCTTTTGTAATGTAGTTTGCCCAAGGACTTTAAAATCAAAGAAAGATTTACTAGATTCAAATTCATCGGAGGAGGTTCACAAGCAGACGACACTTAGTCAACTGGAGAACAATGTAGTTGGTGCACGATGACGAAATTGGGGTGCGTTGTGTCGGATCATTTTGATCCTAAGTCCGCTAATAACCTAGGTCTGACAAGGCTTCTTGATATATAAAAACTTAAATGACATACAATCAGAAATTATACGCAAAGAGTACATTTATATATCTGAAATTATATTTTATATATCTGATTATACGTCTTTTGCAGCCGCCTCAAAAAAGATGGCTGAATAAAATTACAGATTATGTCATATATATTCTTTTATTTTAAAGCATCTCTAAACGGATGAATATTTAATCCCATATTGCCAAAACTACCAAAATACCATGATTTCTTGTTCTAACTTTTCCGGCAAATTTTAACTTTATATATTTACTTACCACTAGTGGCAGCATATTAATTTTTATTAAATGGCCACTGGTGGTAGACTAGACAGTAGACACTTTTGACTTTCATATCCTATGTTAACATTTCAGTGATATTGTTATTTGTTATCTGTTTGCATATTTTTGTGATTTGTGACAAGACAACAAGAAAAAAATAAAAAAATATATTAAAACTAACCGCGATTTATACATTTGTAAATAAAAATTAAAAACATCTACCTACATAAGAAATTAGTTATTGATAAAATATGTGATAATGTTTGGCTCTTAACGGCCCATAATATTTGTTTATTTGATTTACTTAAATGACATCACACTGAAATAATGATATTACCAATGTTTTTAATTGACGTGAAACAACAGTTAAGTCTATTATTATTTAAATCTCAGTTGTAGCTGTAATAACACGAAAATGATACCATCAAATACAATTTGTGTATCTCAAGAGGGTCCTGCAAATGCTTTAGCATTAAATAAAGACTGTACGCAAGTTGTTATAGCAGGAAGAAATGGTAACATATTTCTTAAATTCATAACAAACAATTTAAAAATCTAAAATATCAGTTACATAGAAAATGTTTTTTCAGTGTTCAAAGTATTCTCGATTGGCGAAAATGATTTCTCTGAAGTGTGTAATCTGAGAGTGGGAAAAAACTTGAATTTAAATTTTTCTTCAATTGATGTGGCCTGGAGCACAATCGAAGGTATCAAAGAATAATTACTGAAATCCTAACTTGTCATCTAATTTAAGTAATGGTTTTTCTTTTCTCTCTTAATTTAAGAATTATTTTACCAACATTTAACTGGACTTTGTTAAAATTATATGAGGAATAAAATTAATGACTACAATTATTGGCAGAGAACACTCTGGCTACGGCAGCAACAAATGGAGCAGTAGTTGTGTGGAATCTTGGAAGATCAGGACGCTCCAAGCAAGAGCATGTCTTTTCTGATCATAAACGAACTGTTAACAAGGTACATAAAACAATTAGATAATGTATAATACAGTATCTACAAGAAAAAATATTTGTCATAATTAAACAAAATAGTAACTTCACTGGAGACCAAAAAAGTCATAACAACAAAGTTACAGGTTATAGGAACATGAATTTAAAATTACATTACATTTGTTGTGTGTTACTTTACTCTTTCTTTATTTTTAGCTTGTAAGATAATACATTTTATTTGATAATTACTACCCTTTTGTGGGTTACAGAAAAAAACTTTTCTTAAACTGATGACAGAGTACAGTTATTAGTTTGGCTTTTATTCCCAAAAATGGCATGAACTTGATATTAAAATCTCTTCATTGTTAAAAACTGTGATGTTATTCCCAGGTTAGTTTCCATCTTACTGAGCCAGCACTCCTCATTTCTGGATCACAGGATGGTATGATGAAATGTTTTGATTTACGGATGAAGGAGGTAGCACGCACATTTATAAGGTCAGTGTAGTTAACTTATATGTTGTTCTTTTTTACTGTAGAATTAATTATGTTTTCTTATGATTGACCTTAGGAATGCTTTATATAGTGTGTGAGTAATTTCAAACATTATATAAAAATCATTGTTTATATGTAGTTTTATTGGCATTGCATTCCAGAATCAAATAATAATAACATTTATTTTTGATAACAGAACACAATAAGGCAGACATCATGTTTTAAATTTGCATATTTATAATGGAATATGTATGGTAATAAACTACTCAAGGCAATCATTTAATTTCAATAGTAGTATAAATATTATAAATATATGTTTTGGTCTGCAGGAATTAATCATTAGATAAACAATTATAAACAATTATAACAAACTAGGTTTTTAGGTCACTTATCACTGTAATGATTATTTATTGTGTGGTTCAAAAACATTCAAATTGAACTTATCTAGGTATTATTTGCTGTTAAATATACCTACTTCTGTGGAATGGTTTGCCAATAAATCTTAACCGGACTTCACACTCAAAGAGTAATCTCCTTCTGGTTGTGATGATTGTTTGATATGGTGTCTTATGGTCCGCGAACTTAACACCATTAGGTGTTCTTTACCAGTCAACCAACAAATAAACAGAGAGAATAAGGAGGTGCGAAAGAGCCATTTGTGTCAATAACAAACAAAATTCTTATATTTTCGCTTTTTTTTCTCACAAATGGCACTGAGGCACAAATGATTCAATTTTGATGACATCCTCGCGCAGTTGCCAAAGTATTGACTTCGGCGTCGGGGGTCGTGGGTTCGATTCCCACACGGAACAACCATTTGTGAAATCCACAGTAATTGTTTCGCATCTGGGTGTTTGTCTATGTGTAAGTTATGTTTGAATGTAGAAAACATTGACCTGGATAAAAATAAAGGCCCCTTTTAAACCAAGGCGGTTCTCACCGCTGCCAGCCACCGACTAACCAAGCACAGTCAACGGCCATCGGGGTCACGGTCCGCAGCGAATGTCACAACTAACGCACGCATGGGTACGCGCGGCCCTACCCACTGGGTTCTAGCTAGTTCGGCTGGTCCGGTTTCGTGAGTTGTACAAATACGAAAAATGAGCAGCATTGAGGGTTGTTGTGTCGCAGCAACACGGAGTCGATCCGCGACGTGCAGTTCAGCCCCCACCAGGCGCACGCGTTCGCCGCCGTGTCGGAGAACGGCACGGTGCAGGTGTGGGACTCGCGCCGCAGCGAGCGCTGCTTGCAGCAGTTCACCGCCCACTCGGGGCCCGTGTTCGCCTGCGACTGGCACCCGGACGTGCCCTGGCTGGCCACCGCCTCCAGGGACAAGACCATCAAGGTGACAGCTCCTTCTCCCCCACCCCTCCGCCCCCCTCGCGCGTGTCAGTGCTGCTTGCTCGATTTTGCCATCGCAAGACCATCAAGGTGAGAGCTCCCTCTTCCCTCCGCTGGTGCCAGTTGGGAGTGGAGTTCAGTTTCGGGCTCCCTATTCTCCCTCGCTTCCCTCGCGCGTAACAGTGGGGGTCGATCGATTTCGCCATCTCCTCTACAGAATAACAGCAATGCAATGGCATTGCAGTGATTTCAACTTGCTGAATAGACTGGCTCAATCAGAGAAGGTCTTTGCTGGTATTTATAATTTCGCGTTTTAAGTGTGAAATTTACCTTTATATAGGCCGGTAAAGTATCTGTAACATCGGTTTTTCTTAGTTTTTTTTTATGTGAGAAGCTGGTAACCGACCTGGCGGTTCAACTGATGTTAATCGAATCGCAACACCCGTAGGTCTGCAGACCACTATGATACTTCCACTTTACGCCGGTCTTCTGTGAGGTGGTGGTGTTCACCCAGATGGACCTGCCCATTCGTGCAACGGCCGAGGCTATTGCGTGGCCCTACTAGGTTGGGTTTTACTGACTTCTCACGTCGCGTTGGATCTTCCTAAAATCTTTGTTTTTTTTTTTCACGTGGAGAAAACGCTTTTTGGATGCCACCGCGTGGCGGGGGTGTGTATGTGGGGTTGCTTGAGTATATTTAATTGAATTTCAGCGGTCGGGGGTGCGACACGTGCGCGACATAAGTGGGTCGTCGCGATAGCACTGTCGCGAGTGTTAATAGACGACGCGAGTGTTTCTGTCTCCGCGTTATCTGACTGCCCGTTGTCTAGCTTTGTTTCGACCGTCCGCGATGGCAAATCAATTCAACTCTTAACGCAAAGGACATGCGGGATTGTTCGTTAGCGTAGCGATGTATTTATCGATTTGCATCTGAAACGTTGACTCATTGTTACTCGGTCAGAGATGCTCCAGTTCGATGAAGATAACTGTTATCAAGCTTCCGCTAAATGAATGCTATAAGTCTTTTATTTGGTACGGTAAGATGGTAAATGCAACTACTTAAATTCCGAATCTCCACCCTTATTTACATGTTGTAATAAAATTAAAACGAATATGTGTGGACGTTTCGTTTCAGAAACCGTTTGATTTCAAATCTTCGAATCGCTGATGATATACGTTTTATATGTTTTTTTCTAACATGTTCATTTGTACCTTTGTTGTTTGTTTTTACAAGTCGTTCAATAACGTGAGGTCGTTGTAGAGATTTTTTGACCTTTATTTAGTTAAATATACTTACTATTTTCTCGGAATTCTACTTTGTTTCTTCTAATATCCCCATTCGGTAGCGGTAATGTTTTTGAAACTAAAAAAAGTTATCTGATCTGAAGAACAAATCATCTTTGCGACTTGATATGGTCATTTAAACGGGACGTTAACACGTATCTGTCACAACCCCAGGTGTGGGACATGCACAGCAAGCCGAACCTGGAGCACACGATTTACACGATAGCCTCCGTCGGCCACGTCAAGTGGCGCCCGCAGAAGAAGTAAGCGAACGAACAACAGAATTTTGTAACATTTGCCTTTACATTTCATACAAGTGGCATCATGCAAATCTTCAATCTTCTAACATTTAGTATTTTCAGTATCCCGCGAACAAATATTAGTCATCTAAAATGTCGCAGGTCAAAAATTAAAATCAGACAGTCAACAGACAGATATTAAATCGGTAACATGTAAATTAACACGCATATAAGACGCGGGTTAAAGGTTGGGGAAGGAATATCGGGGTCACCCCCGAGCGAGTGTCGTGTCGGTTGCGCAGGCACCAGGTGGCGTCGTGCGCGCTGGTGCTGGACTGCGCGGTGCACGTGTGGGACGTGCGCCGGCCGCACGTGCCGCTGGCCACCTTCGCCGAGCACCGCGACGTCACCACCGCCATCGCCTGGCTCTCGCCCGCCGGCTTCCTCTCCACCAGCCGGGTACTCGTAGCCGCTTTACGCTCACTCTTGCGATTCGACATCGCGCTCTTCTCGGTCCTTCGAGCCGGATGAAATATAGAAACCGCTAATTAAGAATTCGCTAATGTGAAGTCTGGTTCGGTGGCGTGGCAGGACTGCAGCCTGTACCGGCACCGTTTCTCGGAGGCGGCGCACCCGGTGCTGTGGGCGAACCCGCAGGGCGTGTGCGTGTCGGCGCGCGGCGAGCTGGCGCACGCCGTGCCCGAGCGGCCCCTGCCCGCGCTGCAGCCGCCCGCCCACGCCCACTCCCACCCCCACACCCACGCGCCCCAGCAGGCCGACCGCCACGTACCCGGTCTGGGGTACATGCCAAATATCACATAATAATCATCTTTATGGTCATATAAGCGAACAAATCGTCATAAGCGCTGCGAACTAGAGGGCAATGTCTGTCCCTACATTTAGGCTCTAGCTTTTAACTCAATATATACGAGCATGTTCTAATTGCGGTGCCGACACCAATGATAATAAAAAAAACATTTGGAAGGTAATGTCCTCTGTAATAAAGCCTTTGCCCAGTGTCCTCCAAAGTACTTTTTTTATATGTGAGGAAGTGGCAAACGAGCTGGCGGTTCCCCCGATGTGAAGTGATAACCGCCTACCCGTAGGGTTGCAGATGCGTCGCCACCTCTCGATAATGCGGGCCCCGGCTACCTCGCTCACTAGACGACACGCAGAAGTGCAACACTTCCCGGAGTGGTCGTCCCGGACAGACCTGTCCATTCGTCCACCACACTTATGCGTGTCTTCCAGGCGCAAGCAGCCGACGGCGGGCTCGCTGTCGGCGGCGGCGCAGGCGGCGCTGGAGCGCGCGTTCCCCGGCGGTGCGGCGTCGGCGCTGGCGCGCCACGCGCCCGCCCCCTCCCGCTCCCCCGCCGCCCCCGCGCTGCTGCTGTGCGCGCGCCGCTACCGGCTGCGCGGCCAGCCGCCGCACCTGCTGGCCGCGCACAACGCACAGGTGGCCAGGGACGCGCGCCGCCACTGCGTAAGTAGCTAAACGGCCGATCGCCACACCGACGGATTCCTCGTCTTTTATCTACATTGTTTTTCTAGCATTCGAAGCAATCCATTGATATCTACTTTCCAGCATACAATTTCGAAAATCGTTTTGCAACGGTAATTCGATCGAGCGATACCGCCAATGCTTTTTAGAGATTTAAAAAAAATTAAAAACCTTTTCGGGCCTTCTTTTTTACAAATTTTTATGTTTAATCATAAGTGCAGAGATTAGGACTATAAACATTTTAATTACTAGCGCCGGCTTGCGAATCCCGGGTACCGCTTTGGAGAAAAACTAGGAAGAATAATCGCGAGCTACATGGTCCTTCGAGCCGGATAGAATATTACAAAAGCATTAATCGCTATTTAATGATTAAAATAGTAAATCCATACGCGATATTAATAATTGGTTTGGCATCGATTCGCTGCATGCGAACCACGTACTGAATTAAATTAGGCATATTAATTAAATGCATGACTGTAAAATGTGCAAAAGTGCATAAAATGACAACGATGAGCTGTTGGCTCGCATAACTCCCAACGTAGGTCATAAAATAAAATAAATGTAGAATTATCAACTGCCAGGCAAAGTGGCCTTCCGCTTTCCCATACAAACTCGATTCTTTGCATTTTTCAATAGCCTAATAGGAGAATTGTTGAACAAAAACCTAAACATTCCTGTGTATAATTCGGGTTTGCAGGTGGCGCAAGTGTGGGAGGTGGTGAGGGCGGAGTGCGGGGCGCGCGCCGCCGCCCGCCGCCCCGCGCCCCCTCCGCCGAGGGCGCCCCCTCCCCGCGCCGCCCCACCGCCGCCTACACCCTTACACAGGTGCGGTGACAAACATCAGAAATGCACTTGTTAAAACAACTTTCACACTTTACTATCTGTTATCTAATAATCTTATCATATAACTGTTATTATTGTTTCTTATGTCTTTCTTTTCCCCACTGTGCGTACATTAACAAATCATATTATTTTATGTTTTAAAATAAGTAAAAGTAAATCTAAACTTATTATTTGCTGTTATATCTTTAAAGGTTTTGTGATTTTTAGTCAATTTTGTGATATTTACTTAAACATCAAACTAAGAACTATATTTAATTTTCAATTTTTAGTGCAGCTTCCCTCTGCAAAACTTAAAAAGGTTTTCATAAAACTGACGCAAAATATACAGTTTTCTAAACACATTTTTAACATCTATATTATAAAAAAATTAAAAACTGAGTAAGAAACAATTTTCAGAACCGAGTTGAAACTTTTTCATGGTAATATAGTTTTGCCAATACTTCCTGATCGCGATGAGCTGGCTAAAACCAATATCGCTCCCATTATGTCCAGCAGTGCCGTGGAGGAGGAGCCCATGGGGGAGGTGGAGGAGGAGTGGGCGGAGAACCAGTTCCACAACAGCGGGGTGCTGGGCCTGCCCACGCAGAGCATTTACATACCGCCCGCCAAGCTCGCGAAGCAGATGCGCGACGATGGTTACTAATGTTGTCTATGCTTCAATTGTTTGTGTTCACTAACTTGTCTATGGACCCCTATTGTTGGAATGTGTGAATGTTAACTTTGATCAGAACATCATATATAGAAGAGCAAACAGTTTTGAGCAAAATACTGTTTCAAAAGTAATAACATATAGTCAGTCTAATATTTATCTTGACTAGTGATAAAACTATGTTGTGTTGTAACACTAGTTACCTAGTAACTAATTGATTGAGTTGCTAATTTATTACCAACCTAAGTACTAAGTTTTAGCACTACCTAGATGATGTCAGCACAACATGTGAATGTCAACCATTCTTAGGAATAAATACCAAGATCCGGAACAATAACTGTGCGCAACTGTGCGCAGAGGCCGGCTGCGGCTGGGTGTCGGCCGCGTCGGCGCACTACGTGGACGTGGAGGCGGTGGACTGGTCGCTGCCCGAGGAGGCGTTCCCGCTGCGCAGCGCGCCGCCCGCCCAGCACGCCGCCCACGCCCACGCCGCCCACGCCCCGCACGCCGCCCACGCCCACGCCCACGCGGACGACGCGGACCACGACGGTTAGTTGTCTGAGCTATGTGCAGATCGTCAAGAACGATCGCAATCGAATTTGACTAGAAGAGCAACGTTGAATACAGCTGCACTTATCAATAATTATGTATCAATCTCCTGTCACAGTGTGTCTGTGGACTCTGAAGCTTCTCAACCGAATTTTATACAATTTTGCACATATTATGTTGTTTGTTCAACGTTAGAATGTTGGTTTTACTACTGTCTACGCCATTTTATTTAAAAAAATAATTTATAAAAAAAATATATAAATAGTTAAATTTCACAATTATATTTAATTGCATTATAACACACACACCGCTTTACTGGCAATAATATTCATATCCGTCCATATCCATATCCCTACCCTTCCGCTTCCTATAAAAACACGAAGAAATGACAATTAACCTTTTTCTCAATGCTCGCACCGCACGCATAAAAACTTCAGTCACCACAGCGCTGTAGTGAATTCGCTAGTTTATTAAGCTCAAAATTAATAGCAAAATGTTGTGGGAAAAGACCAGTGACCGCCGTTCAAACTGAGATATCGAAGGACAACTCCAACTCCAGCTTCCAGGTACCTAACTTTTCCTACAACTACCTTAGGTTATACCCAAATATATTTACAATAAAATAATAACTTTAATATTTTTTATTGCTAATATAAGAATTTTATAGCAGGAAGGCTTGAAAGAATCTAGTTCCACAGTTTTTAAGTTTTGTTTAGTCTTACAGATGGCAAGGTAAGTGTAAACTTTCATAACATTTGTCATCCTAATTTGACAAATCAATTGATATTTTTTTGCAGTTTTACAATTCCATTTAACATTATGGCTACATTATGTAGCACGTGTTAAACGACATAAGCTCATAATAATAGTAGTAGATATAATTATCTAAATGTATAGTCCCAATATTTTTTATTGCAAATTATTTGTTTATTAAATGACAGTTATAATTGTCAGTGAGTTCCAAAAGATTCTAACAGATGGCGGTGTAAGTTAAATTTATCTGCTGGATTGAGTAAGTATCCAATAGATGGCACTATGTTAAAAGTCTGACTTATGGACTTACGGTGGTGCTGCAATGGGGTCCGAGGTTTTTTTTTTAAATTTTGCGTTTAGAAATACAATTGAAACCGTTAATAACAGCGGATTCGATGATTTTATTTCCGTCTTTGTTCCTATCATATACAGCTTGTCGTTACCACCGCGACAATAAATGAACACAAATATAGAGGAGAACTTTTTAAAATTGTATTAAACATTTACATTCTTTAAACATCAATATTAACCTAGTTATTAAATTTTCAAAAAACAAACAATTTTAGAACACCCTTACGTATAAAACTGTAACGTAAAGTTCATTTGTAAAGGTCACAAAGCATATGAATGGGTTGAATGAATTTAAAAGAGACAAAACATACTGTTAGAAGGAGAGGCTTGTAATACGACGCTGTGGCGCGAGTTGTATAGGACGATACAAATTTTTTCTTTTTTACTTAATTAGTGTTTGAAAAATATTTTTTTTTAATTATGGATTTTGTTTAACGTTAATATTTTTTTATGATTATTGGCAAGTAGCGTTAGACGTGTGTTCATTTATTGTCGCGATGGTAATAACACGCTGTAGAACTCTGGGTAAATACTCAAGTAGTGGAACTGTTTGGCAGGTGCGACAGGAGCGGGCGGTGGCAGCTCGTCACCTGGCGGCTCCAGTTCCGGGGGCTCCGCCGCCTCTGGCGCCGCCCACGACCACGCCCACAGGACTTACCACCATCAGCACTCTCTCGTTACGGTAAGGCTCTCGGTTCTTTCGATTGCGAATCGTTCGAGGTCAGTGTGAACTTGTAAGTCTATTTAGGTCACTGCCTATGCATATAAGGTATGTGTTTTTTATGTGTATGAAGATGGCAAGTAAGCTGGCGGGTTCGTCTGATGTTAAATGATAACTGTCATTCATGGACCTTTGCAATACTCATAGGGTTGTAGGTGAGTTGCCACTTTTTAATAAAGGGGGTTTCTGTTATCTGACCGACCAGATGAATCGCAGAACTATAAAATTTCCATTTCACATTGGTCTTCTGTGAGGTCGTGGTATATTTCCGAACTAATACTACTACTGTTGCGTGATCCTGTTGCAGCTAGAATGTATGGAGGGCAATGCAACCCGATCTAATCGCGGCATCGGCTTCGTCCGTATCCGACGTAAGAGTGTGTCCAGGCGGAGGAGTGCGAGGTGGGCCCGCTGTCGGTGCGCGTGGGCGAGGCGCGCAGCCCACAGCTGGACGTGGCGCCGCTGCTGGCCTCCGCCCTCAAGCTGCACGCGGACCTGGGCGACGTGCAGACGGCGGCCGTGGTCTGCATCGTGCTGCAGGAGCACAGGTGGGCGCCGAGCCGTCGACCTATCGATTTGGCCTCCTGCTCTTCCTCGAACTGATTCCTTACCGCAGGAACGAGCTGTTCGCGTACATCGACGAGGGCCTGCAGGAGCAGTGGCTGCTCGGCTACATCGAGCTGCTGCAGCGGCACAAGCTGTGGAACGTGGCGACGGAGGTGGGTGTCGCGTGGGCGCGGGCGTGGGCGTGGGGGAGGACGACGGCTGACGGGGCGCATGTGGGCGTGGCGCAGGTGGTGCGGTGCGCGTGGCTGAGCAGCGTGTGGGCGCTGTCGCAGCAGTCGAGCAGCGTGGCGGCGTGCTGCGGCCGGTGCGGGCGGCGGGCGAGGGGCCTTGCGGGCTGCGAGCGGTGCGCGCCGCGGCTGGCGGCCGACCAGTGCGCCGTGTGCCGGCGGCCGGTGCGCGGCCTCTTCGCCTGGTGCCAGGGCTGCTCGCACGGCGGCCACCTGGCGCACATGCGCGCCTGGATGCAGCGCCACCGCCTCTGCCCGGCCGGCTGCGGACACCACTGCCAGACGCCCTGACCGCCGTTCTAAGACTACGAATCCAACTGTGTCTGTGAATGTCTAATCCGTTATATTATATACTTCAGAATTTCTTTTAGCGATGCATCCGAGCAATATATAATATAAAATCTAACAAATCTTAGAGTTTCGAATAAAATCTATTTTTATTTCATCGAGTTTCAATTTCAGATGTATCAAACTTCACATATTGATGAAAGTTTTCGGTTGTTAATTTCATACTGAAACTATTTCTGTAAGATATAGCATCTCATACTTTGTTAATAATGTAAGAAATATTTTATATAAACGTTGACTGAAATTATGTTTTATATTTTTTTATTAAGGGAAAATAAAAACTAAAACCATTATTTACATGTATCCTTTATTTACATAACAATAATCCTTTATATTTCTTAGCATTTGTATAAAGAAAAAAAAAATAACCATTCAATAAAAATTAACACTAATACTTATAAATCACCGATTTATAGGAATGCGTTTCACGATTTTCATAATTAACACTTGTCTCGTGTACGAAATTCGAATGTTAGAGTGGGCTCTGGACTGCTGTTTGTGGAAAAACAACAGTTTAAATAATTAAATTAATTTCTTCTGATAAAATTATCAGCAATCAACATAAAAAAATGAAGTAAATAAAGTCATATTTGTGTTACTTCTTACAGTTGTATTGTTTTGTGCTTACCTAATTGTATATCGGTCACTTTCAGGCAAAATTCATAGGTAGGATTTGTGTTTGCTCATCACAACCTTTTGATGACAACCATTAACTTTATACATTAGTTGGTTTTCTTTAAATTTGCTTGTGAACGTGGCAATAGTAACATAACCAAAATGATTGTCTGAGCGGGTCAGATTCCTTGCGATAATACTGATTTTTAAACCGACGTGTCGAGGAGACACATAAGCCTTGAAGCTCCGCTGTCGAGGCCCTGGTGGTGGTGGTGGTGGGGCGGTGGGGCGGAGGCCTAGACGAGGCGGCAGCAGGGGGGCGCGCAGCGGCTCTTGGGCTCGGCGCCTCCGCCCTCGGGCGCCGCCCCCGCCTTCTGCTGCGACATGGCGCGGATCAGCGCCAGGAACGCCTGCGACCAGCGTTCAGCCCCACACTTAAACGGCACTCGACTATGTCTGGCCTTCTAACTTCCCAGTTATAACTGACACACCAGCCGATGATAATGCTCGCTACACACAAATTGGTAATACTCAAGTTGCGGTTAGTTATCTGGTAAGCATTTTCCTTTGTATATATTCTTTTATTATGTAAATTTTTATTTCCAAAAACAGTAATTTACTTGATATGGTTAAAATTTCGAGGAGGCTAGAATTTACTGATTACTTTTTCAGGAAAACACATCAGCGGGGAGATAAGTATGTCGAAGTTATATACAGGGAAGCTTTTATAAGTGTATCCATTTTTTTTATTAAATTCTAGACATAAATAATGTTATATAAAAAAATTATAAATATTTTAAATCACTCGTAATTAATTAATTACATTCATTTGAACTAATCTCAAAATGTGCGGGATTTATGGGCAACTCATATATTTTACGCGGCGATCATTCATAACAAACACGCGCACAAGTTCGTTTCAAAAGTAGACGACGCATTTATAAATGACTACCGCGTTGTCAACAAGTTCTGTTTTTGTGAAAAAAAGTTTTGTTCTTATTTCAATAATCGATTATTCTACCGACCGAGTCTGAACGTCCTGTATGAATTTGGGCACCTTTTGAAAAGCCACCCTGTATAGACTTTCTTAATTTTTATAAAAGCCATTTAAATTACATAAACACTCACCTGAATTCATTTAAAGTCTATAATATCAGTATATGTAACAGTAATAGACAATAATTTCAACAAAATCAATTTGTATGAATAAATAACAAGCAGTTTTGTGTAAATCAGTATATTTCTTGTCTCCATTACCATTGATAGTATAGAACAATTCTATATCATAGCATTATTCGAGTGCTTCCATATATACGCAGCTCATACATACATTTCAATTCAACCAACATACAAAGTTGGACCATTCTAGAATGACCACAAATGGTGGAAGTCGGCGGTGTTCGCTACTTCCAAACGTATTACACATATTATATTCTAGTAATATTTACCCACATTTCGGAAGGGCGTACGATAGAAATAGAACTAAAATGAAAACCACTTAGCTTTACGCATGTTACATAAACGAAAATACAGACATAACTATAGAACATATCTTAAAATTAAATGAATACAAAAAAAATAATTGGTCTTAATAAAAGCCAATTGTGGTTCTTTTTGAGGTAAGACAAACAATACTAAAGGATACTTTAATATTATATGCTACAGCCGAAATTAACTTAAAATCAAGGTCTACATTTAGGATTAGGTATTGACGCTATTTTGCCAGTCTTGTAATAATATCACTTATTAAATTAAGTTGCAAAACTGGGTAACCTAACTTCTAAGATTATATAGACGTTTAGATTCCGTGACGCCTCAGAACAAACCTTATTTCTGTGCATTAGTTTTGATTCCATTTTGTAGAATGGCATGTGTATATTAATACATCTTTGATACGCCTGACATTTCCAACATTGGAATGATGAAATATTATGTATATATTCAATTTATCATGCAATGAAATGACATGTAATGTGTTAAATATTTTGAATCCCATTAATTTATAATTTCAAAGTTTTGCAGTAATATTTATTAACATTTCATAAGAAGTTTACATTTCAAAGCACTAAATATTATAATATTGAGTAATTTTACATTTTCTATGATATGGTATAATATAACCCATATGTGGACAACACTAAGAATAAATGGCTTCTGAATGATTGATGGAGAAAAGAAATTCAAATTTATAAAATTTTTACTAACTTGAATTTCTGTGACTTTTTGAAATGGAATCAAAAAATAAAATATTACATTTCGTTTGTCGTCTTTGCTTCCTATTATTTCGGTATTGCTTTTGCAATATTTTATTGCATAGGACGTCATATTTATTAACCAATATGTCATCCTGTGCATGTCCTATGCGAATATATTAATTTTAATGTATCTGAAAAGATTCATCTTCACATGTCGCAGGAATTTAGACATGTATATAATCAAAGCCTAGGCCTGTAAACAGTTGAACACGTGTCAGCGTTCTTCTTTCATAAATGGCTTCTCTTAAAAGAATTCGGCCAATATCATGTCAGGGGAGTGTCAGCGTTTTGTGAACCCCTATGACAGCTGTCAATAATTATGTACCCTTATACAGATAATAAAAATGTACGGAGAATAATAATAATTAGAATTATCTGTTATAGTTAGTGTATAATAAATTTGGCATATTGTAACGCTGTGCAGGCAGCCTGTTCAAGTTTAATTTAAAGATGCACTTATCTATGTAGAAATAGGGTTTGAAGTCAATGACACGCCTATTTTATGATTACATTACAATTATTCAGTTTCAATGTATAACGACAATTTGTTGGTGATTGCAGACTGTGTCTAAATTGCACAATGAGCGTAAAAAGTTTCCACGTACTATACAAATGCTAGCATATATCTAAACGGTGTAGGAATCATGTAAGTCGTAGAGGCACGTTCAAAGCGTCCCAGGTGGAAACGCGAAACATGCTTTAGACTATAAAAGACACAATAGAGCGACCCACTTGGAGGCCGTTAAAAATACATCCAAACGCCAGATACAAATACAACAAACAAGCAATAGGAATATGCGATGCTTTCATCATAATTAAAAATATATTGTGACAAAGAAACCAAAACAGATCCCTCGTGAATACAATTCATAATATTTTAAGTCCCATTCACAAAGATACGATATTAGCTATTAATGGACGATTAAAATATATTAGTTTGGCCGTAGAAATTTGTGGACAAATATTTGAGAATAATCTTTTACATGGAACGTGATACAAGGTGAACTCTACAAATTTTAACATATAAAAATACTTTGATATCATGTCAAATATGTGTATCTCTGTGGATAGGACTCGAGACGATTATGTTAGCTATCTCGGAATAAAATTAGATTATTGAGCAATGTGAAATGTTAGTTTGGACCTCCCGGGCAGAGTTACACCATGTTTGAGCCATGTTGGCTTAATTCACTGGTTTGAGTCCATATTGAACGGTTCCTTATTGAGCTTCGGAACTTCTAGCATTAGAAATGGAACCCCACAATGGTTTCTCTTTACACAGAGCACCAGCTTTAATCAGGAATAATTATCTCTTGGCCGTATCAGTAAGCAAAAATACTCTTTCGACATAAAGCCATTCCATTCGGTGGTAGCTCGCGATAGCTAACAGTAATCGGCTATAACCAGAGGATTAGAACATAAGACTAAACATAAGACTTATCAACCACAGTAACAGACGATGAGTCACAGAAAGCAAACACAAAGGCCGTGCACGAGACCCGTTCTCCGTTGAGGAACTGAGAGTCGTGATCTAACACAGCGAAATACTCTGATGGTCTAGCAACACGAAGCTATTTCGCCACATATAACGGTGAGAAACTCAACAAATGGTGTAATTTTTAAAAGAGTTAAACAGGTAAAGGCATTCAGTGAAACCAGCGGAAGCGGATGCCGATGCAACATGCCAATGCCGCGTGCGCAGCTCGTGCACGGCCCTAGCGTACCAGTGACGGACCTCGAGTCAGCTCCGTCTGCGGTTTCTATAGAAATATTTAGACTCTCACAGAAAAACCAAAAAAAGATCGAACTTAATACCTTAACGGTACCGGACACAGACTAAAATATTTCCATATAAACACAGACACAGTGCAATCCACGACACATATAGCGCTTAACATCTAGGAAATAAATACAACATGTTGCGAGGCCCGCGATGCGGCCGCATGCCGGCATGCGGAGACACGCGACATGCGGAACGCACCGAGGCGCTCGGGCCCTCAATCTAGTACAGTGTGAGCGACACTTAACGCGACGCTCCGACCGATCGGGGGGGCGTGGTAGGGGCGAGGGGGCGTGGGGGGCGCCGGAGCCCTACAATATGGCGCACTTGATCTTTCTCCGCTTCACCTTGTCGCGCACGTTGCCGTTGGCGGCGCGGCTGTCGTCCGACTTGCGCGAGCGGATCTCGCGCATCAGGTCAAAGAACACCTGCGGGCAGACGCACCCCGTCAGCCGACACGCGCACACACGCGCACGCGCACGCACACAAGCACAGACACCCGACCCACCAATCGCAGCGAGCACCGCGCAGGCGGCGACGTCCCACCACCGGGTTTTGCACCCAAACGTGCACACACAATTTTATAAAGCGTAACCATTCCGGATTGGCAAGGTTCAATCTTATGAAGTTTGGTGCGATTTGAAATTTAGCGAGTAATTGTTTAATGCTCGACGATAAGTTGGCTTATTAATTTATGGGCTTTATATATAATTGTCTATGGTCGTGATCGTCAAGGAATTTCTAATATCTCGACTCTGCATTAAATATGATTACTGTACTGCACCTACTTCTTAATAATTCGGAAAAGCTTAATTTATTAAATATGTATATAATAATTTAATAAATAAATTCTTTCTCCCCTTATCTCCAAAATAATTCATTACATTATTATATGCAGAATTAAACGAATAATCAATATTCATATTTAGTCTATATTATAAAGTAATGACATACAAATTAAAAAAAACTCTGATTTGTGTATTAAGAAAATATGAAAGGACATAAAAAATTAACACTTTTGTCTCTTCTTTCACTTTCGTTTAATTCCAAAGCCAATCACTTTCCTAAGCGTCATTATAAATGAATATAAATCATATTCACCCTAAAACTTACACATCACTCAGTCCTACTCTTAAACTATTTCTCTCCTAACTTTTATATCAGCCACATAAAAACAGCAACACTTGTATTTGGTGTTGCCATTGTAACGAATGAAAATTTTCTATGGCTATAACCCGACCTACTAAAGTTAACGTTAAGTGAAAAAAATTATGACAAAAATTTGAAAAAATTTGGACAAAAAAGTGACTTGTACACTACATTTGTTAACCGCAAAGCTGTGCAGCATGCGCTAGCTCGTTGAAGCATTGGCCGAAACGCTTTTACTATTCAAACCGTACACATAAATAAGATAGAAAGATTTAAAAAAAATCCCTGTCTTTCAAAGCATTCCAAACTAACTAAACGATTAATAATACTGCGGAAGTCTCATCCGGCTGGCATGTATGACAGACAGTTAGGGGCTATTCTGATTCTTGATACGCGAGATTTTATACAATGTATTTAAACGACGCGGATATCGAAGGTAGTTTTTTTCATCCTAACGTCCTCTACTGATAAGTGATCGCACATTATTTCACAACGATTTATTTATTTTGAAAACGCAAACCTCGTCGCAACGAAATTTTGCCGAAACCGTTCACTGCACGCGTATATAACAAGTTTTCCCAAGTGCACAGCAACTGACCAACAATAACTTAAATATTTGCCACTCATAAGAGAGCGTAAGTTTGAACAAAGCGTAAGTTCGGTGGTGTTAACGAGACAAGCGGAGGGCAGTCCGTGGTGGTGGCGTGTCGGTGTGCCTGCGTGTCGGTGTGTCTGCGTGTCGGTGTGTCTGCGTGTCGGCGCGTCGGTGTCCTCACCTTGTCGACGTTGTCGCGCGTCTTGGCCGAGGTCTCGACGTAGGGCACCTGCCAGGCGTGGGCGCGCTCCCTGCACGCGTCCAGGGGCACCCGCCTCTTCTCCCCCAGGTCGGATTTGTTGCCCACCAGCAGGAACGGGATGTTCTCGTCGTTCTTCACGCGCAGGATCTGCTCCCTAACACCGAACGGCACCGAGCTATATTCTCCCTCTCTTTCGCTCTATCCTCCACGATGAGGACCCGGTGCTATAAGTATTCGCGCTTAGAAACTGAGTGTAAAGAACTTTGCCTCAAATGTTTCAAGAACAAGGTCTGATCCTAGTTTATTTTTTATCTTTACTTTACTCTGCATTCATTTTTCGAAGCTGCAAACCTCGAAACTGATTTGAATATAATTGATAATTTATATTGTACATTTTTTGTAGATAAATGAACAAAAACGACGCTGCGGGAATAATTGGTCCTATCGAGTGAATTTCCTAATGAACGCAAAGAATTTTCTCCAAGAAACTGATATGTTACATGAGGGATAACGTCGCAAAGAAGAATGTGTTATAAGCAGTAAAAACTTACAAAGACTTTTACAAATCGAACACATTATGGGGCTTAAAGAACCAATGAAAACACAATCTAATAGATCTTTCTTCGGATTGGTTTTTGTGGTTTTCTATGAGTTCAACAAAAAACGCAACAAGACGATTGCTCATTCCGATTTTCACTTTCAACAATGTCCATCGCATATAAAATAATAGAAACGTGAAGTAATACTAGGTAGTATACCTAAACTCTTGGGTGGCGTCGAAACTCTCGGGCTCCGTGATCGAGAAGACGCAGAGGAAGCCCTCGCCGGAGCGGAAGTAGTTGTCCCTGATGGCCGCGTAGTCCTCCTGGCCGGCCGTGTCCAAGATGTCGATCTGGACCTCCTCCCCGTCCAGTACCACCTGCGGAGCCACCGGTTACACATCTTTTTATTTGTACTCTGGTCAAGCAAAATGTATATAATCAATTTCAATTAAAAACAAAATCTATCGCCGATTTGCTAATTTAGATCTAAGAAGAACAGGCTACGATCTTTGCGGTGATATATCCATCCGTTTCATGTATTACATGCAATGATATGAAACAATAACTTTAGTTACAAGCCATTAATAATTAGAAGAATGGCCGGCCACTGCTAGTCATTTGGTAGAGTCATACATGTCAATGTAATAATTGATGAAAAAAAATGTAGGTTTTCAATTTAAAAACTGAACCAACTGATCCAACCAGACGAGAAAACAAAGAAATATCCCCAACATAATAATAATAACTAAGCTAATTAAGCTAACATCCACAGCAGGATAACAATTGCTGGGTCAATACATAATTATTTTTCCGTGAGCTATTTTATAGCTCCGAAATAAATACGAGACGAGTCGTTGATATTGATTATCCGTTTTTAGATAAATACACGCAATATTTTAAGTTAAAACGAAACATAAAACCATTATATAAGTACTATAAGGTCACGAAGCGTAGCTGTGCATGTTGTTAACATTACTTAAATCCCATTTGAATTCTAAAATCCAAAAACGACTAATCTCCAAATAGAAATCAATACACAATCACACAAATAGTTGTCCCGTGTGGGAGGCGAACCCAAGACCCTAGACGCCAATACCTTGGCAACTGCGCCACGGAGCTATCGACCTGTCTGCATATCCGAATAGTTGATTGCGTAAAAATTCACTCGTTTGTCTTGAAGCTTCCGCATTTGGTTCAAATAAAGTTTATATACTTTTCTAAAGAAATACTTTGAGAGGAGAAAAGAACAAATAATAAACGTTATATTTAATAAATTAATTGAAACGTTGTGAAGTGTGAATCATAAATTAAGACAGAAGTGTTATTCTTCTATTCTGGTTTCGTAAAGGACGCGAACATAACTATGTACTGATAGCCGCCGTCATTATTTGTAAATAAATCAACATCACAAAAGCAATTAGCGACTTGAATGATTAGAACTTGTCACTGGCTTGACGGTCGATGGTCGCTTTTTATGAAACGATCAAAACCGAAATGTATTTCATTGTTCAGTTAACAAGGTAACCCGAGATGATGTTTTTTTTTGTCAGGGACTTGATGGGAATATTTTGAAGGATACTCTTAAAAGTAATTAACGCCGTTATTAAGCAAACCGCGCTGAAACAATAGGAACAATTGCTCGTATTTTATATCGCAATAGATATTCCAGCAAAGTTTTAGTCGATCAGTAAAACGGTCAGCGCCATTTCGAAACGTATTTTTTTTAATTAATGCTTAATATATATTTAAACAACAGCTTACCCACCCGACGACGGCTCCCACTGTGAATTTATTTTAGAAGCGAGATTCAATAGTTGGACGAGAATTACACATTTCGTTACAGGAGAAAGAAGATAAATGTCTCTCTCTCTCTCTCTCTCTCTCTCTCTCTCTCTCTCTCTCTCTCTCTCTCTCTCTGTCTGTCAAAGTAAATCTCTCTTGTTTTTAGGGTTCCGTACCCAAAGGGAAAACCTAGAAATTACTAAGACTTCGTTGTCTGTCTGTCACCAGGCTGTATCTCATGAACCGTGATAGTTAGACAGTTGAAATTTTCACAGAAGATGTATTTCTGTTGCCGCTATAACAACGAACTAAAAAACAGAATAAAAAATATTTAAGTACGGCTCTCATACAACAGACATGATTTTTTTGTGTGACGAGTCCGACTCGCACTTGGCCGGTTTTTTATTATTTATGAAGTTTCACTTCATCACGTGTACGTTGTTGTTACTTATAATGATGTTTATTTAAATCATTATTAGAATTTCACCTTTTAATGAGCAAGTGTGTTTAGCACTTCGCCACAAAGACTCAATACGCGCCATTTCGCTTTCCAGCCACACCAGTTCAGCGAGCGAGTGTGGAAATAAATGCAGCCGCTATGGACTTCCGTCTGATTGGTGTTAATCTGATGGCCCCGTATTTCGACAACGAACCCGAACTTTCACTAGACTAACGTGACGTTTCGCATCGTCATTTGTATTGTGGTGTACTAGAACATAACACAATTTGAAACGGCTTTTTCAGTACCTTGCGGAGAAATATTTATGTCGGGTAGAGGGTTCTTTAACTAACTTGTGCCCTCTGAAGGGAAAACGCTGAGGGCTTAGAATTTGTATGTTCTGTGGCAACAAGGAAGTTTATGTTACAATCCTCTCCGGATTCATTTTAGTGGAGGAACGAGGACGTAGCTAAAGTTACTAAGGTTAAGTTAGGTTTTAATCCAGTTATTTCATAGGCAGTATATTCTTAAGCTAAGGCAGTATATTCTTAAGATAAAGGTTCGCGAATATTACATTATCTGGTGACAATTTTAAAACCGTGATATGCTCAGGCGACAAAGGTTGTTCTGTAAAATACGAATATCCGAATTGAATGTTGCCTATGATTTCTGCTCACTTTTTTCCGGTAGCTGTCGGCCTTTGTGGGCTCGTAGTCCTCGACGAACTCGTCGTACATGAACTGCAGCGTGAGCGCGGACTTGCCCACGCCACCGGAGCCCACCATTATCACCTTGTGCAGCGTGGGCTGCGCCGCCGGCTTCTTCGACATGGCGATGGAGGCTCCGCCGCGCGCCTGCGAAAATTTGGGCCACGTCACTGCACGGCTGTCTATTTTTTATGTGCGAGAGAATGGCAAGCGAGCTGCTGGTGAACCGGATGGTAAGTGATAACACGATAAAGGTGCCAATCTGCGACACCTTTTAATAAAATGGACTTCGGCTAGCACACTCAGCAGACAAAACACAGACAAGTGGAAGTGTAACACTCCCACTTCATGCCGGTTGTCCGTGAAGTCGCGTTACTTCCCCAGACGGACCTGCCCATTCGTGAAACAGAGACCTATTGCTTGGACTACAGTTAAAAGTCACACATTATTAAAAGTGCCTTAGTCTGTCAGTCTCAGTACTTGGCACGACTCCGATTCTCAAACAGTTGAACGACCAAGCCTGTGCACCCAGTTTCTTCACCGAACTTTATAGAAACGACAACTTATTGGGATACAAGGGCACAACTCGAGTCGTTCGGAACGGTAGTGGCTGGACGGAGAGGAGTTTCTTTACGAGGTGACAAATTATGTGATTGCATGAACGGGTTAATTACATATCCTTGACAAACAACCTTAACAAAGCGATGTCACACTATAGGTACAATTAAAAGTTGTAACAGCATTCTTCTCAATGCTTCGTTGAAATGTTGTCATTAAGGATCAGTTGCGAACCGAGCCGAGGGGAAGGCGAGCTAGAGAGCGTCGCTTAACGACAATAACAGATCGATTTTCGGCTCGGAATATGCGCGTAATGCAAAACAATGTCGACATTGTACCGTTATGCAAACGTTGAAATTAAAAAGGGAAAGTGTTATTTTATTAAAGTCTAATCGAGCGTATACGGAGATGACACTATTTGTAAACCTTCCAAAGCGGTTATATTATATAATATCCCAATGTTCCGCTTTAAAATAGCAGAGCGATTTCGTTCCGATTCAGATTTCAGATGGGCGATGAGATGTTATAAATAGACATAATTTTTCAACCTTATCGGACGTCGACATTGTCACGTTATGCAATTTGGCATATTCACTTTAACGACGATGAATCAAACAATGTACGGTTGTCGCGTCAGGGCGCTAATTATTACGTTGAGTTCTTTATTCGACGTGCACAACCAAAAATCTTTGTTTAAACATTTCGTTATCAAAACGCTCGAAAGTTTAAAACTACTATTTCTATCATAGAGATGTTCGATGCAATGGGATACGATTTACGGCCGTTTTCAATAACCTACCTTTAGATTTGTTAACTGGAGATAGAATTATGACGTAAGTATTATGGACAACATGTCAAGTTCATCGCTAGTAATCAAATCAAATTGAAACCGGCTCGATTTCTGTATCAATAAGCTGTACTGTAGACACACATTTGCAGGAATTTTACCAACGAAATCATTTCTCTGGAGTTTAATTTTGTTGGATCGATGGTTTTTGTATCATATTATATTATACTACAGTACTTGAAAACAATATATCCACATTATTTGATGCGAGGAAGTGAAAAACAATAAATAATGGATGAAAAATACGATTAATTGCATAGTTAATATAATTAAAAACTAAATTAAAAGGGCCAAAGGGTGGTTCTTGATCTTTGTTGAACAGATAGTCTGACCAATGGAGTATTAGACCGCTACAAAAGTAGTTTAGACAGCTGTAACACAGCGACATAGCCCTCCATTGTTTATCTGTGGTCTTCTGTGCCTTCCCAATATGTTTTTTTTTTCGTTGACCAATTTTACAGTAAACGAAAGCCGTGCGTAAAAGTTTAAAGATAAAATTAAAACAGGAAATAAAACGAGTAATGTTTTGTTTTCAAATTAATAATTAATGGATTAAAAATAAATCTTATTTCACTAAATAATTCATCCGATACAAAAACGATAAGATCAATAAAGTGTATTAAGATCTATTACGATCCAAAACAGCAATACAAGCATTGATGTTTCGATAAAGATGACGCATGTCCATAATGCGCGGCGTTTAAAAATGTTTTCGCGCCACATTATACAGCGTGTCTTTACCATCGCGACAATAAATGAACACACATATAGAGGATAACTTTTTAAAAGTGTATTAAAGATTTACATTCTTTAAACATCAATATTTAACGAGTTATCAAAATTTCCAAAACAAAGAATTTTAGAACATTCTTACGTATAAAACTTTAATGTAAAGTTCATTTGTAAAGGTCACAAAGCATATGAATGGGTTGAATGAATTTCAAAGAGACAAAACATACTGTTAGAAGGAGCAACGAATGAAAGTCTCTGAATGTATGAATCAGTCAGTTGTAGTTGTATAGGATGTTACAAATTTTGTTTCTTTATTACTTAATTAGTTTGTTTGAAAAATATTTTTTTTAATTATGGATTTTTTTACGTTAATATTTTTTTATGATTATTGGCAAGTAGCGTTAAAAGTGTGTTCATTTATTGTCGCGGTGGTAACGACACGCTGTATATAAGTGAATGAATTATACATATTTATATCATTATTGATACGTAAAGAGATAGAATGTAAATAGGTACACTAATAGACATAATATGAGTGACTTAGTTTCGGTGTGCTAGTGTCATATCTACCTCGTATTCTCTCGGATCACAGTGGACAATTGAGCATCCAGAAATATCCCTATATCATGGTTGACAATTTGCGAGTTATTGGTACCGCATATTATAAAGTCATAGCTCTCGCGTCTTTGTTACTGTCTGTTACTGTTTTTTGTTACTGTTTGTGCTGTCATCAAAATATTGGGTTTTTATGTCTGAAATACCAACGCTAGTCTAAACTATTGAATTCCGTACACCATATAACCATGCGACATTTAAAAATAAGAGTATGATTAGGGATCGCAATGTGATCATCCAATTAATTATGTTGTTATACCACCTGTTAACAGCAAAGTAATATATTTAAATAACATTTTTATATGGCAATAACGTCACGTTTGCGTCATAAGTTAAGCGAGTAATGAAGTAAAGAGGTTTCACTTCACTGTATCTTGTAATACTCCCGTTATAATATTTATGGTACATGTATAATATTGCTGGCTGAAAAATAAAACTAAATACAGCAGCTGGCGACGAGCTCAACACGTTAAACAATATATTTCAACTTTTTCACGACTTCATACGGACGGTTCGGATGTTTAACTATTTCTATTGTTTAATTTTGACACGTGTTTGATGGTTAAGTTTACCACCCTAGACGTGTGCGTTAACCACTGCCCACTGACATTTGCAACACCCGAAGGGTCGCAGAATCGTTGTCACCTTTTAATTAAGTGGGCCTCGGCTACCACATTAATCAAACGAAACGCAGAAGTGTAACACTTATGCCCGGTAGATGTTAACTAATCAGCTGTCAAATGGCTTTCCAAATGTCATTTAAGTTGCCAAAAGGGTGGTTAAACTCTCTGAATTGATTATTCTGATCAATTCAGAGGATTTTCAATTCTGATCAATTATTGGAAACCGCGCGGTATACTTCCACTATATTTAAGAAAACCTAAAATGATTTTGACAATAAATCAGGAAACGACTAAAACGGCTAATTTTTTCAACTCTTATCAAAAGGCCGATTTTGGCTTAGAAAGCTACATAACGTTTAATTCTTTCTGTTTCACTCCCTTCCAATCACCGCTTTTGTTCACAACGTTGTTCTGGTGAGCATAGCGTAAACGTTTGTTAAAGTTTTGTCGTTAATAATTGTGCGATTCGGGAAAATATACAAACTAAGTGGGCACTGGTGGCAGCCTACGAGGTAGTAAATTGAATGCATAACTCAATTTTAACGGCGTATCGGCTTATAGGGAAGTCATTATGAAGGCGGTAGGCGTAATGCTGTGTCGTTAATGTTGTAGTCTTAGCCAAAAAAACGCTCTTATGATCCGTCTACCGTAAGGAGTTTGTTAGAGATACTTAGAGTTCAGTTAAGGGGTCGTACGCAAAAGTTCAAATACAGAATGTAATGTGAGAAATAAAATTGTCGAGATTTTTTTGATGAAATTCTTTTTCATTTGACGCACGAATCGCTTCTATTTCTAGCACTCGGTTGCTTTGAGGCGGCCCGTATAAATGTTTCTTGAAATTTTCTTCCACCATCATAGCATCTCATCGAACTCATTAACGTCTCATCACAATCTAATGAATGAAGGAGCGCAATCGGGCACAAATATATGAGTAACTTTATAGCACAGAAGATTTTTAGGTCTCCGTACAAAAGGGTAGTGCGGGAACCTATTACAAAGACCCCGCTGTCTCTGTCTGTCTGTCACCATGGTCTATCTCATGAACCGTGACAGTTAGACAGTTGAAATTTAACTACAGATACTAAAAAAAAAACAGAATAAAAAAATATTTAAACGGGGCTCCATAACAGACATGATTTCTTTTGCCGTTCTTACAGATAATTGTACGGAACCCTTCGTGCGCGAGTCCGTCTCGCACTTTGTCGGTTTTTCACATTTACGTAGAATCGAACTTTTAATAAGGAAGCTGGTGGGCGGCAAAAGCAAATCGTGAACACCGCTAGTGGAGTACATATAGCCACTAATATCGATGCTAAGCAAAAGACCTGCGGAACGGCTCGTGGGTTTTATTCAGGTGATAAGTTGCCAATCGAGCAGGCGGTACAAATCCTGATAGGTTGCAGATGTGTTGGCAACCATTTAAAAGTAGGGTAACCCCGGTCACCTCACACACCGGAAAGTCTAAAACTTTCATTTCACACTGGTCTTCTGTGAGGCCGTGGTATATCCCTTGTCTATGATCTACAGATAATTATTTCGAATCTGGGTGCTTGTAATTGTTTGATTGCGTTTGTAAAACGCGTCTATGGTACTAGGTTACCTTATCTTACAGTAGCGGTATTGTGGCGGGCAGTTAAAATGACAGACTGCACTAGCTACTAACTGAGTGGTTTGTCGTATCCCGTGACGGCTTTTTTTTAGTTCATAGTGTAATATGAAGATGAAGTTTTAACGCCCGCGTCGATTGT